CCCATATTGTCCAAAAATAACCTGGAGACAGTAATACATGCATTCATTACATCTAGGCTTGATTACTGCAATTCACTCCTGTTTGGTGTCAGTCAGACCTCCATTGCACGACTACAACTGGTCCAGAATGCAGCAGCCCGATTTTTAACCAGTGCAGGCAAAAGAGAGCACATTACACCAGTTTTGGCCTCACTGCACTGGTTACCAGTTCACCTTAGAATCCAGTTCAAAATACTCCTGTATGTCTACAAATCACTGAACAGTGTCTCCCCCCCCCATCTCTCTGATCTGCTACAACCGTATGTCCCTCCACGTTCCCTGAGGTCAGCGGACCAGTTGCTCCTCACAGTTCCAGGAACTCGTCTTAAGCGCAGAGGTGACAGGGCCTTCTCTGTAGCAGGACCAAGACTTTGGAACGAGTTACCTCTGCTTGTCAGACAGGCCCCCCTCCCCCTCAGTTTTCAAGTCCCGTTTAAAAACTCACTACTATTCAGTAGCTTTCAACACAATCTGTGTTTTGATCCTGTATGCTCCACAATGGTTTGTCGTCATTATCTGCATCGTTTTTATGTCTATATTCTGATTTACCTCATTTTGTATTTTGCTTTGTGTGTTACCTGTTGTTCTGTCTGTACAGCACTTTGGTTGGCCTTGTTGCTGTTTTAAGTGCTCTATAAATAAAGTGGTATGGTACAATGAATCTGAACATATAAGCCCAACGCCATCAAACTCGTTAACATTTCCACTGTATATGCAGCTTCAGGTGTTCTTTGCTTCATAATTATATTTAGCTCGGGAACAACATAAGCAAAGAATTACTGAATCGATTAAATTACCCGTATTTTATTGTGAAAGTCCACACCGGAAACGTTCCTCTCCCTTGCTTCCTGTCCTCCCGGTTCGCGTCATCTTGGACCGGCAGACCAGCGGACTTCGGCTCGGATCGGAGAGACGGCGGCAGACTGCATGGTGGAGAAGCGTTTCATACTTGCACCTTTTTTCTGGGGACCGTCTGTATGATCGAGCTACAATCTTCAATGAGTAAGCATATCCCAGTAAGTGTCTGTTTCCGTGGCTGCCATTTTGTCTCGTTTCATCCTTTGATGTGGACCGGCCGTCGACGAAATCACGGCCTCCGCGGCACCAACTGTCCAATATATGCGCGTGACTTTGACGCCCGTCGTGTTCACGCACGGTTCACTGCGTGAACACGAACTGAAGCTGCTCGTGTCTGTAAAGTTTCACTAAACGCTGGTCGTCGTGTTTCAGAGGCGCAGCCCGCGCGGCTCCACAAGTTTCCATCGCATCGAATCGACGCATCTTTGCGCCAGTCGCGCATTAAATGGCGCCGATATTGATGGAACTGTTCCCGCGGAGTGCGTGGCTCGTGTTCGCAGCAGTTGTCGTGTTCTTCTCCGCTCCCCGCGTCGCGTGAGCTTCATGGCGGTGCCGGAGGCCTCCGGTGATGGCGCCCAGTCTGCTCACACAAAGGACTAACGTGCTGTCACCAAACATCTGCTTCAGCAGCTGGAGCGGTCTCTGCATCACCTCTGGCCAGATGAAAAGCTCCGAGTGGCACCAAGTTTCCACTCGGTTCTAGAAAAACAGGACGATCAGACGGGAAAGCCCAGGTCCAGGTTCTGGTTCTGGTCTGGGACTAAAATGGCAGTGAAAGCGTTTTGAGCCATTTTAGGTTCATGGAGTAAACAACAGTTTGTTGACATGTTTATTTTTTTATATATAAATAGAGAAATGCGTTTCCTGTGAATATGCAGTGTGAATGCTTATTGCTGAAGAACAGCTGAAGAACAGCTGAAATGAAAGAACAAGACTAAATAAATTAGAAGAAAACAGAAACTTTTGCTGAATTAGGTTTAAATAAGCAGAAATTAACACAAAAATAGGAAATGGGCACAAAAAGCTATAATTAGCAACAAAACATAAAAAGTAGCTGAAAAGGCAGAACGAATCTTAAGCTACGAGAAGGAAGTGGAAAGAGCTTAAATCAATTTTTTAGAAAGTGGAATTAGCTGAAACAGCTACAGTTTGCACAAAACGGCTCATAAGAGTCCACCTTCATTGTTCTTGCACAGAAGCACAATGACTTTACGTTTCAGTACAGCTGAACAAAGAAACATGGGTAGACGGGGGTGCCTGAGGCTGCGGCCTCGTGGAGAGCGCTGCCCTGTTCGTTTGGACGAGGAAAGAGGAGGTATAAGAACAACTCGTCTCTCACACTGGCCTTGACCGGACACGGTGTGACGTTGCAAACGTCTCGGCACAAGAAAAAGCAGCTTGCAGACACATGCGTGTGCAGTGGGTGAGGGTGGGGGTCCCAGCACCGGCTGTCCAAGTGAGCGACGCAGCCTTCACATTACCCAGGTTGCTGCACCGGGAGGGGTGCAAAATGAGGGAGGCCAGCGAAGGTGGTGAATATGAGTGGAAGTGGTCCGTGGACACTGTCCAGATACCCAACCCCCGGCCATAGGTCTGATAAGAGATGGTGCAGTGTTTATGAGCCGGCTCGGTGGAGCTCTGACACGGGTCCATGTCCTTGGGGAAGGGAGGGGGAGCAGAGCATCTTGTTCACATAATATCCAGGAAAATTTGAGATGGTCAGCCTTCCAAGGCCGACGCCGGGGGAGCCAGATTCAGATAGCAACAGCTGATTTGGATCAGGCCGGCTCTTTAATTCCCATCTGCCTTGTACAGTCTTGCGTACGTGTCAATGGCTCCAAACAGCCAGATGTGTGGTCACTAGGGGTGCACCGATTTCTAAAAAGTCTGATCTGCCGATTCCCATTTTATTTTGTGACACCGTCAGGTGTTCTAAGGTCACAATGCACCTTCAAATTTCCAATATTATTTTATTAAAAAAACATACCTGTGAACAATATCCTACAAACAATACAGACTTGTTTTAACCGGCCATGAGGTGGTGCTCTGAAATATAAATGAATGGTAAATGTACAGTACTTATACAGCACCTTTCTATCTTATTTCAGACACTCAAAGCTCTTTACACTAAAATCTGTGCCTCATTGACCCGTTCATACAGCTCTATACTAGATCTCTAGAAAGATAACTGAACAAATCATTCTAAAGAGACTAATCAGAGCTTTATCACATTCATCACTGATGGGACACACATCAGAGGCAGTGAGGGGTTCAGTGTCTTGCCCAGGGACACTTCAGCATGTGACTGCTGGTGGATTTGAACCCCCAACTCTCGTATTGGAGGACGACTGCTCTAACCACTCAGCCACAGCCGCCCCCAGTTCAGACAATTTTTGTTAAAAGGAAAAAAAAAGGTAAAATCGGTTTCTCATGCAATTATCGACCGATTTCCCAAAATTAAGGAAATCGGGGTCGATAGATCTGTGCACGCCTAGTGGTCACATGCGCTGAGTCGAGCCTACAGCTTCTCCGAGATCTATTCCTTCCCGCCCGCGAGAGTCAGGAGCGGCAAGTAGTCTGCGATTCTCAGCAAGAACCGCGTGCAGCTTACGGCTCAGCTCGCACAACGTTTGAGTTCTGTGTTGACAGCATGACACGTGCCGGGCGGCCTGACGGTGGCCAAAACCGCTGCCCACGTTTTCCAAATGTGCCGATATGCCACGTAACCACCAACTCCGATAATAGGTAGTAGCTGAAATAGATAAAGATGAAACTAGTTGGAAAAAGCTGAAAGGAGTACAACAAGCTGAAATTAGCAGAAAAAAGTAAATTAGGCTGAAAGAAGCAGCACCACAAAACTTGAATTTGTTCTAAAACAGGTGAAATTAGCTAAAAAAATACTAAAACAGTAGCTGAAAAGGTAAAACAAGCTTAAATTAATAGAAGAAAGCAGAAATACATATTTAGAAATGAGTGCAAAAAGTAGAAATGATCTGAAAATAGCAACAACAACAGAAAAGCTGGAAAGTAGCTAAAAAAGGGCAGAAAGTAGCTGAAATTACAAGAAGGAAGTTTTTTGATGGTGTAGGCTGAAAAAGTAAATGAGTGCCAGAAATGTGGAATTAGCTGAAAAAGCTCAAATTAGCATAAAAACAGCTAAATAGTAGGTGAAACTTGCAGAATAATCTGAAAGGAGCATAACAAGCTGAAATTAGCAGAAAGAAGTTAAGAAAAATGTATTTGGCAGAAAGAATCTGAAACGAGCACAAAACAGCTGAAAGTAGCTGATTTTTTTTTTTTTAATTTGCACAAAGAAGCTGAAGCAGAACAGAATGTGAAAGGCTGTAAACACAGCTAAAGATTTGAAGGATGTAAAACGAGCTCGTTTTCTATGAGAGAAACATGTCAGAAAATGCTAAATGTTTCAAACGGCTAAAGTTGCACCAACACCAGAAGTCGTAGCCGGATTGTCCTGAAAGAGCCGAACGTTTTGATTTATTTGTTGCAATGATTCAAAACTGCAGGACAAGAGAAGTGGATCACAGTAGCGTGAACGCTTCACAAACATTCACACGACTAGAATACTTTCTGCTCTCCGATTACATCCGTTTTAAAGTCGACTCGGACTGTGCGACTGTGCAGAGTTGACCCGTCTGGGCCCACGTGGGACAAACGGAACAGTGTTGACGTGCTGTTCTCCTGTCGTCTGTTTCAGCAGTTCTGTGGTGTTCTGGGTCACACATTTATGGAGTTTCTGAAGGGCAGTGGAGACTACTGCCAGGCTCAGCACGCTGCCTATGCAGACGAGTGAACAGACAACCTTGCCATTTCTCTGACGCACCTGAGCCACAGGAGGGACCCCGGAAAGTTGGCAGGACCGGGACGCCTCCCAGAACCAGCGGTAACTCGGCCTGGATGGGGTAACTCCACCCGCTGCACACTGCCCTTGTCGGCTTCCACCCGACCAGAACCAAGGTGGAACCAGCCTTTTTTTTTTTACCTTTCTTTTATTTTGCTTTCTTCAGAAGGAGAAGGTGTTGAGTTACTTTCCTGATCTTTTGTCAGCGCCCTAAATTCACCTGTTCTGTCCTTTTAGAAGGTCAGAGCTTCTTTTTTGTTGTTGCTGGGCTTCCCAAAGGTCACTGGACATTTGTGTTTAACAGTTCCCTCCAGCTTTAACCGTTTACTCATATTTTTACTCTTTGGAATCCTTTTGAGTTTTGGTGTGTACTGGAAACCTTTTTGTAACGTCACAATGGCTCGAATGAACCGACCAGCCCCCGTTGAGATCACCTACAAAAACATGAGGTTCCTCATTACCCACAATCCCACCAACGCCACCCTGAACAAGTTCATTGAGGTGAGCCTGTGGTTTGATGTCGAACTCTTTTCAAACGGTTAATGATGAGGACTCGGTGATGAATGCAGTTTACTGACGGTGTGTTTGATATAGTGCTGCTGTTAGTGGCGTTAAAATGAAACTAACGCGTCTGTGCAGGAACTGAAGAAATATGGCGTCACCACCGTGGTGAGAGTCTGTGAGGCCACCTATGATGCTGCTCTGGTGGTGAAAGAGGGCATCCAGGTTCTGGTGAGTTCACTTCTGGACTGCTGCAAAGCTCCTGAGTCAGCAGCATAGAAACAACCTCCATCTCTAGATTTAATGAGAACATATAGGATGCACATGGAATCCCTTGGCTGTGGTAGCCACCTTTTTTTTTTTTTTTTTAACTCGCCTGTCTTTTGTTGTCAACATTTGTAAGTTACACTGAATAAAACCCAACAAGAATTTAGCTCATGCAGAAAGAAACTCCCACTAGAACATTTTCCTTCTGCAGCCGGTTCAGCCGTGCACTTCTTTTGTTTAGGTTTCCAAGAAACTAGGCTGCTGATCTCATCCCCCTCTTTGTTCACCCACTGATCCTCTCCAGGATTGGCCGTTTGATGACGGAGCTCCTCCTCCTAATCAGATTGTGGACGACTGGCTGAACCTACTGAAGCTGAAGTTCAGAGAGGAGCCTGGCTGCTGCGTTGCTGTCCACTGTGTGGCAGGACTGGGAAGGTGAGACTCCCAGCAGGTTTATTACTGATTATTATAAAATATTTTAATATATGCTCTTATTAAGACTGTTGCTGTAATTATAATGTCTTGTTTGCACACTGCCCAGGACATCCTGGAAAAGAGGTCTCAATGGATTTCTTTCCTTTTTAAAATAAAGTTGTTGTTTTTAAGTCCTCTAATATGTTCTAACCTTTTGATTGGTTTATTTTCCTTTTTATAATTTAAAATGGCTCTTTACAACTTTAGTGTTCTAGCCAACAACACATGAACACCTAAACAAACTAATGGAGGAAAAAACTAAAGGGGGGGGGGGGACGTGATGGGGAAACTAATGAGGGCAGTAGTTGATAAATTACAAAATAACAACCACAATATAAATTTACTCATGCAATACAATAATTTGTACATTTTATAATATTATACCTATAAAAAGTTATTAAACACAGTGATTTTGTACTTGAGTAGCAAATGTAATTTGATTATTATTATTTGCACAATAGTTTTTAATTTTAGTTGATAATCTAGAATCAGAATAAGCTTTGGCATTGCACAGCGAGATTATATTCTGCACAGACGTTTGAAAGATGGGCGGAGTGCACGTGGCTGCAGCTCCAAGGAGCGCCTCATTCTTTAGACAGAAAAAGGGAAAGACCACGAGGAAAGAATAGTGGTATTAAAAAATATCTCTTCACACCTTGTCAGGACACGATTTAAGACGTCAAAACTCTACCAGCAGCACATTTCTATTACACGTGCATTTGATGACAAGATGGTGAGATTTGTCCATGAAGCACTTCCAGATGGCACCGTAGTCCTGGTAAAGTGTTGGTGTCAGCCGGTACAGAGCGTTCACAGAACGGCGAGGGTGGATAGAGCAGAGCCTTCTTAGTTTACACATCCCCAGGACTAATTTGACAAGTGGGCCTGCTTCAAGGCCAAACGGGGAGCCAGATTCAGATGAGCCACAGTTGTTTTTGTGCAGGCAGACTGTTGTTCTTATCAGCCTTGAGTTCTGCTGGTACTCTTCATGATCCAAAATAGCCAGATTTGTGGGCTTTCCGCTGGTCTGTGCTTATTAGATCCTTCAAGGTCAACGCCAACATGCTGGTGAGTTCCAGAAGCTGCAAGTGGCCTACGATTCTCATGCATCACTTCCATCTTATGGTTGAGCTCGTAAATCAGCTGAGTCTGAGCGCTCCAAGCACAAACCGATCCTTCGCATAAGGTCGGCAGCTTTGCCACGGCCGAAACTGCTGCCGCCGGATTCCTTAAAAGTCGATAACTTGGGTATCTGCCGGTGCCAAAAAGCAGAAGCTGCTCTCATCAATCCAATGATGTTTAAATCTTGGACATCGTCCAGAGACGACACAGAAAGGCTCAGCATTTTCCACCCTCCCCACAGACCCTTGACGTACCCAGCCAGCCGTGTGCGTCTGTCCTGGGCATGAGGGTTCTCCAGCGATGCCTCGTTCGTGTTTTGTTTTAATACCATGAAACTGCTGTTTCTGCTCAGGGCTATAATACAAATCCACTGACCCTTACTGGTGTGGGACGATAGTTCTTTAAACTGATTTTCAGTACTTGGTTTTTAACGGAACAGGTCTGACAAAGATGCAAATTATTATGTTTTTGTAATTTAATGTCTAAATTCATGTTGAGCTTGAGGTTTGTCCCAACGTGCACGGTGTGTGTTTCCTGCAGAGCTCCTGTCCTGGTGGCGCTCGCTTTGATAGAATGTGGGATGAAGTACGAAGATGCTGTCCAGTTCATTCGACAGTAAGTTCAAGTGAAAATCTTCCATCGTGTTCCGTCTGTCAAGCTTCTGCACGATGGCGGACTCGCCGTGTGCTGAAGGAGTGGACGGCTTAAACACAACGTCTGGTTCTGAGTCGCTGAAGCAACGTGATCACTGATGGTCCATTTGATTGTTGAACCGTGCGGTTTTTAACTAATGGATTTTTACATGGAGCTGACTTTTATCGTGTTTCTTCCAGGAAGCGTCGAGGAGCTTTCAATAGCAAGCAGCTGTTCTACCTGGAGAAATATCGTCCAAAGATGCGCCTGCGCCATCGCAATAACTGCTGCATCCAGTAGAGCCAAACTGAGCCACGCCAGCCCGGCCCCATCCCCTAACCCATCAGTCCTGAAGAGCTCAATGAAATTAGATGACTTTTTGCCTGGCAGGCCTTTTGTTTCATGGTTTGTTTTTCTTTATCGTCTTTAAATACTTAAGAAAACCAGGCTCGGTAAAATAAACACAAAAAAACATGTCCCTTAACCCTTAAAATCAAATGTCTGACAGAAAAAGTGGTCAGAACCATGTTGTCCAAGATAAAAAGAGAAAATGACACGAAGGGCAGCGCCGAGTCGTATTGTTGTGAAATGTTAACTGTTGTCTGCAAGTGTGCTCGGACTTTAATTGGCTGGAACGTTTACACTAAAATAAATAATTTTAAGTATTACAGGATGTGATCAGTTATTTGTCCCCCCACATTCTGTTTTTGAGCTCAGTTTGAAAAGTGAGTAGAAAGTGTCATGCCTTCCTTCAGATCAGCTGATCATCCATAAATGCCTTACAATGGAAGTGGAGCAGAGGCAATCAGGGCGGGAGTCGACTCCTGCCGGCATTTGGAAAAGGTGTTGCATTTTTCTACTTGGAACAAAAAACAACTGTTGCCTTTGTCTTGTGCAAGAAGTTTTACACACTTCAGCTCTTCAGTTACTTTTTTAATATGAATTGCCTGTTTGTTGCAATGTTTGTCAGTTGAAAGTCCAGGAACTTTATTTCTTTATTAAATCCTCTGTTTACTAATTACTGCCATGTCCAAAATGTGATGGTTTTATTTTTCCTTGTTTTTTGTTTTTTCTTCAAACTGGATTTCCAATGTCTGCAATATTGTGTATGCCTTTTTATTTGATGTCTAACTTAAGACTTGGATACTTGATGATTTTGTGTATTTGAAAATGTGTACTATGTACTAGGTTGGCTATTTATACTATCAATGGATGTGTGATTAAGTACAGTGAGCGACAAAGTTGTACCTGTTCACCAACTTGAGATTACATTAAAAGACACTGAAACAAAAAATGGTTTTGTTTTGGTTTAAATTCATGTTTGATGAATTCCTAACTGGAAAGTGATTGAGACCTGACATCTTATTTATGGTGGGGGGTGAACAGTCTAAAGGTTTTTGAGACGCCTGATTATATGTTGGAACATTTACCTGTGAGTGGAGAAGTTTAACCAAATGATGGAACCGCTATTAAAACATGATTTTTAGATGTTTCAATAATTAGGTGTTTTGTCAGTAAGAGATCAGCTTTAAAAATCCTAAATTAGTTTGAATAACCCAAATTATTAAATGACTTAATCTGTTTAATATGTTACAAGTACAAACCGGATTCCAAAAAAGTTGGGACACTAAACAAATTGTGAAAAAAAAATGAATGCAATGATGTGGAGGCGCCAACATCTAATATTTTATTCAGAATAGAACACAAATCACAGATCAAAAGTTTAAACTGAGAGAATGTTTCATTTTAAGGGAAAAATCTGTTGTTTCCAAATTTCATGGCGTCAACAAATCCCAAAAAAGTTGGGACAAGTCCATTTTTACCACTGTGTGTCATCCCCCCTTCTTCTTACAACACTCAACAGACGTCTGGGGACAGAGGAGACCAGTTTCTCCAGTTTAGAAATAGGAATGCTCTCCCATTCATGGCTAATACAGGCCTCTAACTGTTCAATCGTCTTGGGCCTTCTTTGTCGCACCTTCCTCTTTATGATGCACCAAATGTTCTCTATAGGTGAAAGATCTGGACTGCAGGCTGGCCATTTCAGTACCCGGATCCTTCTCCTACGTAGCCATGATGTTGTGATTGCTGCAGAATGTGGTCTGGCATTATCGTGTTGAAAAATGGAGGGTCTTCCCTGAAAGAGATGACGTCTAGATGGGAGCATATGTTGTTCTAGAACCTGAACATAGTTCTCTGCATTAATGGTGCCTTTCCAGACATGCAAGCTGCCCATGCCACAAGCGCTCATGCAACCCCATACCATCAGTGATGCAGGCTTCTGAACGGAGCATTGATAACAACTTGGGCTATCCTTGTCCTCTCTGGTCCGGATGACATGGCGTCCCATTGTTCCATAAAGAACTTCAAATCGTGACTCATCTGACCACAGAACAGTCTTCCATTTTGCCACACTCCATTTTAAATGACCCCTGGCCCAGTGCAAACGTCTGAGCTTGTGGAGCTTGCTTAGAAATGGCTTCCTCTTTGCACTGTAGAGTTTCAGCTGGCAACGGCGGATGGCACGGTGGATTGTGTTCACTGACAATGCTTTCTGGAAGTGTTCCTGAGCCCATTCTGTTATTTCCTTGACAGTGGCATTCCTGTTTGAGGTGCAGTGACGTTTAAGGGCCCGGAGGTCACGAGCATCCAGTAGAAATTTACGACCTTGACCCTTACGCACAGCGGTTGTTCCAGATTCTCTGAATCTTTTGATGATGTTATGCACGGTTGATGATGATAACTTAAAAGTCTTTGCTATTTTACGGTGGGTAACACCATTCTGGTATTGCTGCACTATCTTTCTGCGCAACAATGGTGGAATTGGTGATCCTCTTACCATCTTGGCTTCTGAGAGACACTGACACTCTGAGAAGCTCTTCTTATACCCAATCATGTTGTCAGTTGACCTAATTAGTGTTAATTGGTCTTCCAGCTGTTCGTTATATGCTCATTTTCCTTTTTCCAGCCACTTATTGCTACTTGTCCCAACTTTTTTGGGATTTGTTGACACTGTGAAATTTTGAATCAACATATTTTTCCTTTAAAATGTTACATTTACTCAGATTAAACTTTTGATCTGTCATCTATGTTATATTACGAATAAAATGTTGACATTTGCCATCTCCACATCATTGCATTTAGTTTTTATTCACAATTTGTTTAGTGTCCCAACTTTTTTGGAATCCGGTTTGTAATATTTAGATGAGCTCAGTTCTGAACATAGATTTGTGTTTCATCAGGCAGGTTTATAGCTGAGGATTATGTTTTTATATTTCTGATCAAGTTTCCTCATTCTCAGATTAACAATGTGTCAAAGGTTGGTAAAAAAAAAATACATGCCTTGAATAAGGACACAAATGAGCTCAAAAAGTAGGAATAAATGGACAGCTTCAACAATGTGATCTACAAGATTCCTACATAGTTAATATGTAATTTGATTTTAGTATTTTTCAGGTATCAAAAAACATTGCACATTTTACCTGTGAAATATAAATTTCAAAAAGCTGCTCATACCAGCAGAATACCATGATGCATACAAAATACAATAGTCACCATGTGCCTTTGTTTATTGATTACATAAAGTAGTTTAAGGTTTTAGCTACCGTATTTTTCGGATTATAAGGCGCTCTAAGTGAAACTAAAACATTTTGACATATTTTTGAGCTCCGTGTGCCACATAAAATAGGTTTGAGGTCAATAAGCACAACCAGAATTAATACATAAGGTGCACCGGATTATAAGGCTCACTGTCAATTTTTGAGAAAATTAAAGGATTTTAAGTGCGTCTTATAGCCCGAAAAATACAGTAATTATTTTTTGTTAAGTTGTTGATAGTGAACCTTTAGACACGGACGACATGTTGCATGAGTGACCGTGGGTCAGGTGAAAATCTGTTCACGCATATAATGAGACTTGTTAACAACCCAGCCTGTTGATTTTGGAACAAAACTGAAGCATATGTTACACTGAAAAAAAAAAAACACTTGTTTTTATTCCAGTTTTTATGAGCTGAACTCTCAAGTTCTAAGACTTTCTTCGCACACAACAGGCCTTGTTCTCTCAGATATAATTCACAAGTTTGTGTACGTCTGTGTTAATGAGCACTTCTCCTTTGCTGAGATAATCCATCACCTCACAGGTATCTAGATGCTGATTAGACAGCATTATTATTTCACGGGTGTACCTTAGGCAGACCACAATAAAAGGCCACAGTAAAATGTGCAGTTTTATCACAGTGCAATGCCACAGATCTTGCGAGTTTTGAGGGAACATGCATGTGGCATGCTGACGACAGGAATGTCCACCAGAGCTGTCGCCCATAAATTGAACATTCTTTACCATAAGCCATCTCCAAAAGTGTTTCAGAGAATACATCCAACCAGCCTCACAACTGCAGACCATGTGCAACCAGTCCAGGACCTTCACATCCAGCATCTTCACCTCCAAGATCATCTCAGTCCATATCAGCGACGTTCATCTGCATACTCGTCCTCATCAGGGTCTCCGCCGGACTGCAGTTCCGTCGTCTTAACCAACTTGAGTGGGAAAATGCTCACATTCAATGGCATATGGCATGTTGGAGAGGTGTTCACGGATGAATCCTGGTTTTCTCTGTACAGGACAGATGGCAGACTGCGTGTACGGTGAGTGGTTTGCTGATGTTGGAGTGAATCAAGTGGCTCATGGTCATGGTGGGGTTATGTGGGCATGCATACTGTATGTTATGAACAACAAAACAGGTGCATTTCATTGATAGCATTTTGAATGCACAGAGATACCATGACGAGATTCTGAGGTCCATTGTGCCATTCATCCATGACCATCACCTCATGTTGCAGTAGTAGGATAATGCACGGCCCCATGTTGCAAGGTTCTGTACACAACTCGTAGAAGCTGTAAACATCCCAGCTTTTGCATGACCAGCATACTCTGGACATGTCACCCATTAGGGATGCTCTGGACTGGCCTATACAACAGCATGTTCCAGTTCCTGACGATATCCAGCAAATTAACACGGTCATTGCAAGACGAGTCGACCAACATTCCACAGGCAGCAATCAACAACCTGATCAATGCTTTGTGAAGACCTGTTGCACTGCATGAGGCAAATGGTGGTCAAACCAGCTACTGACTGGTTTTCTGACCCAGAGCTTGTTCCTGGTGTGGGTTGGACCCTGCCAGGGCTATATTTTGTTTACAATCTTGTTTCTAATGTTCATGGACAGGATCTCAAGGCGTAGTCTTGGTGAGGAGGGTGTCTAGTTTGGGAAACCCAAGATATTGTCTGTATTTTTGCAGATGACTGTTGACATTTTCAGCACACAAGTGTGTACTGGGGCTATTTGCAAAGTGTGTATAGCAGCTGAGATGAAGCAGATTCTCAAGGTCCAAGAACATGGTTCCCAAACAGAAAATGGTGGAATGCCCACTCTGGGTCAGGATGAGTCTTTACCTTCGGCAGTGAACTTCATGTATCTGGGAGTCTTGTTGACAACTGGGGCTTCATTTGCAACAATAAGAATATATTTGATCTGGTCTGTCATGGTGAAGAAAGAGCTGAGTCTGGGGTTCCTCCCCCAAAAATTGTGAATAAAGTATAAGATTTCCTGCATTTTGGTGTATTTTAATGGGTTGTTAAACATCAACAGTACATTTACCTACATGTGTAAACACTCCGCTTCTGCCAAGCCCCCCCGGAACCGTCAAGTAAGTCGGGCTCAGAAGCGAGCCTGACTCTGTCCCTGCTCGTTGTTGCCTGACTCCACATGTGAAACCTCCAGGTTCCTGCCTGCGGCTGTGAGCTTCTGCCCGCTTATGACACGACTGCCTGCTCGGCACTTTTTTTATACCTTTATTTTACCAGGAATAAATCCATTGAGTTCATCAATCTCTTTTACAAGGATGTCCTGGAAAAATGTTCATTACCTTACCCCCACCACTCTCTTAGGGGTGGAGATTTCTTTAAGGGTAGACGCGGAAAGGCTTCACTTGAAGAGGCAGATCATGGCTGTTGTCTTTAAAATTAGTGCTCATGTAATTATTTTCAGTTTACATATCCAATATAAGTTTTATTAGTTCAAGGCAGTCATATTTGTCCATAACTTTATTATTAGTAAGCCTGAGAGTTACCGGGTCCTAGCAAACAGACACCGGAAGCACCCTGTCAAAATAAGAGAGTTCCTGGATTTTGTTCCAGCAGGATACGGCTCAAATTAAGCCCTGCAGCCAAGATGTTTCTTCATTTGATTAGGATGCCTCCCACTAGAGATTTTTTGGGGACGGAGGAGCTGGTGGGTGTGCTGGGGAGATGGATGCCTGGGATTCTCTCCTGGACCTTGTGGCCCCATGAGCTAACCATAGGGGGCAGAAAAAGGATGGATGGATGAAGATCCTCTGTTTAAATTTTGGCTGGGATCTTTCTGTGTGGAGTTTATGTTCTTTACATATGTGTTTTCTCTGGGTACAATGGTTTCCTCCCACAGACAAAAAAAATATGCGCGTTAGGTTCACTGGTAACTAAATTGTCTCTAGGTGTGAGTGAGTGTGAATGGTTGTCTCGTTTGTCTCTATGGGCCCTGTGATGGACTGAAGACCTGTCCAGGGTGTCCCCTTCCTCTCACCTAATGCCTGCTGGAGATAGGCACAAGCTCCCCCACAACCCTGAACAAGATCAATGGATATATGGATGTGCTCATACAAAATGTAAAAGAAGTTATCAAAATGTGTTTATTTCCTCTTTTGTACAATTTCAAGATGTCACATAAAACCTAAATATAATAAATAAAAAGTCATATAAATTTGCTCAAGAGGCATTCAAACAAGGCCAGCCTCCAGTCCAGAACTGATCAAACAAGATGGGACTTCAAGAGATAACCAACTTCAATTAGGAACAAACAGATGTCATCCAGCTGTAGATATTGACACATTTACAGAAACATACAAACAGAAAAGTTTGGATAGAAATTTGCTCATATACAGTAGGGTCTTCGTTCTTCTAAAATGCACTTTTATTTTACAGTTCAGAGATGGCTACAGTGAAGTAAAATAAAACCTTTTATGGAAAGCTGCTTCAAAAGTTGAATGTTTTTAGTGTCAGCAGTAATTCAGTTGCAACGAGTGATAAAACCCCAAATGGACAAATCTTCTGTCGAAGTTTGGTTTCTCTCCAATCTATCTATCATTTTCCCCACAGCTCACCTCGGGTCCCCTCTCATATCTCGTTGGGGCCCTTCATTCCAGAGTCTTTTGCAGAGACTGGCTGTGCCATCACGGGCATGACGCACTGCGATGGCTCACAGTAACCGTTCAAACCAGGGGGACCTGGAGGCCCAGGCACTCCGTTGAGACCAGAAACACCGCGGGGTCCCCTCTCTCCATCACGGCCGTCAGTACCGTAAGCTGGGCGACCAGGTTTACCTGCACGGAGAGATCACAGAACAGAAATCACTTTGATTTGTCCTTACCAAAAACTGCTAAACTGATCATTTAACCAAATAAGGAAGTTTGGGTCAAGATTAGTTTGTTTTAGGAAATACAAAAAGGAGCATAGTCACATAATTTATATTAATCTGGTTTACTAAAGCAAATGTTTTCCACCTCCTGTGTATAACCAGCTTTATAATTTAGTTGTAAAAAATGTATGCAGTCACTTAACAACAAAGTCCATGCTCAATAATCCAGGTATACAATCCAACATTTTTCAGTCAGGTCATCTGGACAGTTTCTTTTTTTTTTGTGCTGAAACGTTTCACCTTGGATTGTATACCTGGATTATTGAGCATGGACTTTGTTGTTTTCAACCAGTTTGACAAGACTGTCAACAAGGAAGAGGGCCGGCAATGGAGGAGGGGGCGTACCAAAGAGACAATCTTATCACAAGCAGAACTGGTTTGTTCCATTTTGGAGTAAGATGTTGGGGGAATAATCAGTTTTGTTGTGTGTTTCCTTGACTGATGAAGCCTTCCGGACCGAAGGCGAAATGTTTCAGCACAAAAAAAAGAAACCGTCCAGATGACCTGACTGAAAAATGTTGGCTATGCAGTCACGTCTTTCCACTCAAACCATTTTAATTTTTGTCCAGTTTTGCATAACAATCAATGAATAATACCAGAATTAGATTTACCTGAGTCAGCGTTTCACAGGGTTATTACAGGTTTCAATGCATAAGCATTGAAGCACTCTTCTTACTATTTACAAAGTAGTTTATTATTTTTAATGGCTCTGTTTTTATACTTTTTGTACAGTTTATACATGGTAACTTGTCATTTTCTTCTTTCACTCAGTGTGTTTCTCAAATCTCCCATGCTCCAGAGTGCACATATCCAAACTTCCATTAACGTCCATTGTGTCTGACTACTATTATTTTTTCAAAACTGAAAGCGAGTGGTCTTTAGTTTGTCATATCGCTTATCAGAGTCAGAGTCAGAGAGTCAGAGTTTCTTTATTGTCATTCGCACCTCATGTGGTACATGTGGTGGAGCGAAATTATGTACACGGAGTCCCAGTTACATCCAACAATAAAATGTCTAAGAAAAACAGTAATAACATCCAAGATATGAACCAAGAAAAACATCAACTAAATATACACTAAGCACTCATAACATAAAACATTGAACATCAGCACAAACATGAACATGAGTCTGCGAGCAGATGTGCACGCATGAACACATCAACATTGAAACAGATCAGCAGCAACATGAAACAGATCAGCAGCAACATGATATGTTTTTTCACAGTGATTATTCTAGTTAGAGATTCATGAGTCTAACAGCCTCAGGGTAGAAGCTGTTCCTCAGTCTAGTGGTTCTACACTTAATGCTCCTTATCTCTTACCTTTAGATATAAAACTTCCATGTATGATCACTATAGGCTTTAGTTCAAGATTTTTGTTTCAATACTACCATACTTGTTTTACAGTTTATCTTTTAGTCTGCATTCTGTCTGCCTGTCTTATTAAGACTTCTGTCAGGGAATGACAGACACAGCAGTGTAGTTACCATGGTGACCCTAATAATTCCCTGTATATAACAAGTTCACCCTTTAGAACTCACCATTGTACTTTATATACCCTTGCTGGACTTACCCTAATAATTCCCTGTATATAACAGGTTCACCCTTTAGAACTCACCATTGTACTTTATATACCCTTGCTGGACGTACCCCCTCCCTGGGCTGCCACCTTACCATGGTGGAGGGATTTGAGTGTCCCAATGATCCTAAGAGCTATGTTGTCAGGGGCTTCATGCCCCTAGTAGGGTCACCCAAAGCAGACAGGTTCTAGGTGAGGGACCAGACAAAGTGCAGCCCAAAGACCCCTTATGATGAGTACAATCTATGGAAACAATGTTCCCTCACCCAGACGTGGGTCAATGGGGCCCCACTCTGGAGGCAGGCCTGGAGGTGGCGTGCGTTGGCGAGTGCCTGGTGGCTGGGCTTTTACGCATGGAGCCCGGACGGGCACAGCCCAAAGAGGCGACATGGGTCCCCCTTCCCATGGGCTCACTACCTGTGGGAGGGGACAAAGGGGTCGGGTGCAATGTGGGATGGGTGGTGACCAAGGGCGGGGACCCTGGTGGTCTGATCCTCGGCTACAGAAGCTGGCTATTGGGATGTGGAATGTCACCTCTCTGGTGGGGAAGGAGCCTGAGCTGGTGTGTGAGGTTGAGAGATTCCGGCTAGAAATAGTCGGACTCACCTCAACGCATGGCTCTGGCTCTGGAACTAGTTTCCTTGAGAGGGGTTTGACATTCTTCCACTCTGGAGATGCTCCTGACAATAGGCGCCGAGCAGAAGTGGGCATACTTGTTGTTGCGCCCCATCTTGGTGCCTGTACATTGGGGTTCACCCCGGTGAACAAGAGGGTAGCCTCCCTCCACCTATGTGTGGGGGGACGGGTTCTGAATGTTGTTTGTGCTTAGGTGCCAAACAGCAGCTCCGATTACCCACCTTTTTTGGAGTCCTTGGAGGGGGTACTAGAGAGTGCGCCTCCTGGGGACTCCCTTGTTCTACTGGGGGACTTTAACGCTCACGTGGGCAATGACAGTGAGACCTGGAGGGGTGTGGTTGGGAGGAATGGCCCCCCTGATTTGAACCCGAGTGGTGTTCTGTTATTGGACTTCTGTGCTTGTCATGGATTGTCTATCATGAACACCATGTTCAGGCATAAGGGTGTCAATATGTGCAATTGGCACCAGGACACCCTAGGCCACAGTTCGATGATCAACTTTGTTGTTGTCTCATCTGATCTGCGGCCGCATGTCTTGGACACTCAGGGGAAGAGAGGAGCGGAGCTGTCCACTGACCACTACCTGGTGGTGAGTTGGCTCCGATGGTGGGGGAGGATGCCAGTCAGACCTGGCAGACCCAAACGTATTGTGAGGGTCTGCTGGAAATGTCTGGCAGAGTCTCCCTTGAGAAGGAGCTTTAACTCTCACATCCAGAAGAGCTTCGAACATGTTCCAGGGTAGGCGGGGGACATTGAATCCAAGTGGGCCATGTTCCGTGCCTCTATTGTCGAGGCGGCTTATCTGAGCTGTGGCCGCAAGGTTGTTGGTGCTTGTCGTGGCGATAACCCTCGAACCCGGTGGTGGACACCGGTGGTGAGGAATGCTGTCAGGCTGAAGAAGGAGTCCTATTGGGCCTTTTTGGCCTGTGGGACCCCAGAATCAGCTGATGGGTACCGGCAGTCCAAGCGGCACGTGGCTCTGGTGGTCGCTGAGGCAAAAACTCGGGCATGGAAGGAGTTCGGAGAGGCCATGGAGAATGACTTCCGTATGGCTTCGAGGCGATTCTGGTCCACCAGTGTCTCGGGGAGGGGGGGTGGGGGGTGGGGAGCGGTACGCCACCAACACTATTTATAGTAGAGGTGGTGTGCTGCTGACCTCAAACTCAGGATGTCATGGGTCGGTGAGCAGAATACTTCGAAGACCTCCTCAATCCCACTGGCACGTCTTCCACTGAGGAAGCAGAGCCTGGGGACCTTGGGTCGGGCTCTCCAATCTCTGATGCTGAAGTCAGCGAGGTGGTTAAAAAGCTCCTCGGTGGCAGGGCCCCAGGAGTGGATGAGATTTGCCTGGAGTTCCTTAAGGCTCTGGATGTTGTGGGGTTGTGTTGGCTTATACGACTCTGCAATATTGCGTGAATATCAGGGGAAGTTCCCTTGGATTGGCAGACTGGGGTGGTGGCCCCCCTATTCAAAAAGGGGGACCATATAGTGTGTTCCAACTACAGGGGATCACGCTCTTAAGCCTCCCTGGTAAAGTCCATTTGGGGGTTCTGGAGAGGAGGGTCCGTCAGATAGTCGAACCTTGGATTCAGGAGGAGCAGTGTGGTTTTTGTCATGGTTGTGGAACACTGGACCAGCTCTACATCCTTAGCAGCGTCCTGGAGGGTGCGTGGAATTTGCCCAACCAGTCTACATGTGCTTTGTGGACTTGGAAAAGGCGTTAGACCACGTCCCTCGGGGAGCCCAGTGGGGGGTACTCCGGGAGTATGGGGTACCATTGATATGGGCTGTTAGGTCCCTGTATGACCGGTGTCAGAGCTCGGTCCACATTGCCAGCAGTAAGTTGGGCTCGTTCCCAGTGAGAGTTGGATTCCGCCAATGTTGCCCTTTGTCACCAATTCTGTTCATAACTTTTATGGACAGATTTTTTAGGTGCAGCCAAGGTATTGAGGGGATCCGTTTTGGTGGCCTTAGGATCGCTTCTCTGTTTTTTGCAGATGATGTGGTCCTATTTGCTTCATCAGGTCATGATCTACAGCTTTCACGGAGCAGTTTGTAGCCGAGTGTGACGTGGCCAGAATGAGGCTCAGTTCCTCCAAATCCGAGGCCATGGTCTTGAGCCGGAAAAGGGTAGAGTACCCTCTTCGGGTCGGGGAGGAGGTCCTGCCCCAAGTGGAGGCGTTTAACACTAGGACTCCCAGCATTTTCAAATGACTCCTTCTTCTACCAGAGACTGCCAAATGGCAGTTGGAGTAATTTGCATCCCATTAGACCACCTTTTGTTGTGTACAGGTAATGCTGTCCCAGGCAAATGCTAAACGGGGGGGATGGGTGATAGTGTGAACCATGTTGATACTCAGATGGAGAAGAAAAAAAACCCTTGATTGTATCCACCTCCAGGTGGATAAAAAGCCACGTCACAACATATATTTCACTTACTCCGTTTTCTGAGAAGCAAAGATGGCAAAGGTTTACAGTGCACAGCAGGCTTTGGATATGATTCGATCAACTTAACATGCCATCTCCTCTGTGGTCCACACTGCTCTCACTCACCTGGAGCAAAAGGACTCCTACGTCCATGTGCTCTTTGTGGACTTCACGTCTGCCTTCAATACCATGATTAACCAAACCCTGATGAACAAACTATTCACACTAGGACTAAGCCCCTCCATTTGCAACTGGGTACTAGCTTTCTTAACAAACAGACCACAGTCAGTGAGGATCCACAACTTCTCCTCCTCCACAATAACCCTCAGCACCAGCTTCCCTCAGGGTTGTGTGCTGAGCACTCTCCTGTTCACTCTGCTCATGTATGACTGTGCACCTACCCATCCAGGCTGTCACAATGTAAAGTTTGCAGACGATACAGCGGTGGTGGGATGCATGACAAACAATGATGAGTCCAGCTACAAGCAAGAGGTGGAACACCTGGAGAGCTGGTGCAGGAAGAACAACCCTTAACATCAACGTGAAGAAGATGAAGGAGATGGTCATGGACTTCAGAAGGAGCAAACACATCTACCCCCCGCCCCTCCCGAACATAGGAGGATCTGCAGTGGAAGTGGTCTCCAGCTACAAGTACTTGGGTGTGCACCTGAATGACAACCTCAGCTGGAGCAACACCTCCAGCCTGATCAAAAAAGCTCATCAGAGACTCTACTTCCTCAGGCAGCTGAGACGAGCTGGTCTGGGAAGCTCAGTCCTCACTTCCTTCTACAGGTGTGAAGTGGAGAGCATCCTGTGCTCCAGCATCAACGTGTGGCATGGAGGCTGCACAGCTGCAGAAAGAAAAGCTTTGCAGAGAGTGGTGAAGGCTGCACAGAAGATGTTGGAGCCAGTCTCTCCACCATCACAGACATCCACACCTCCAGATGCAGGAAGAGGGTCATCTGCATCATGAAGGACCCCACTCACCCAGCACACACACTTTTTGCTCCACTCCCCTCAGGCAGGAGGTTGAGGAGCATTAAGTGTAGAACCACTAGACTGAGGAACAGCTTCTACCCTGAGGCTGTTAGACTCATGAATCTCTAACTAGAATAATCACTGTGAAAAATCACATCATGTTGCCGCTGATCTGTTTCTCTGTTGCTGCTGATCTGTTTCATGTTGCTGCTGATCTGTTTCATGTTGCTGTGTTCGTTTGTGCTCATCTGCTCACACAGACTCATGTTCGTGCTGCTGTTTGGCATATTGTTTTTATGCTATTAGTGCTTAGTATATTTTAGTTAATGTTTTCTTAGTTCATATCTTAGATCTTATTAGTTTTTCTTTTACATTTTATACTTTTGTTGGATGTAACTGGGACCCTGTGTACACAATTTCATTCCACCATGGGTACCACAGTTGGTGTGGATGACAAATAAAGAACCTTGAATCCTTGAATATACAAATATACAAAGCCATTTTAGGAAAATTACCATCATACATCTACTCCAAGTTCATTTCACTACAGAACTGTCTCAGGGCCAGTATCTGGCTGCGGTTTAAGGTGCTCTTTGTGTGTACAGAGTCAGGAAAGATGAGCATGTCTTATTTCGGACCATGGTCTTGGAATGATCTGCAGCTTAAGTTGAGGTTGGAGTCTTTTATTCAATTATCTAGTTTTAAACAAAAACTGTCAAGAGATTTTAGTCATGTCTTGCACCTGTAATGTTTGTGTCTTAAACTCTGGTATTTTTTAAACTTGCATTTAATTTTATGTTTTATTACTGGATGTTTTGTTGTAAATATTTTAATACTACTATTACTCTGTCGCTGTATTTGTAATGGCTTGTTTGCACCTTGCACATTGCCCAGGACATCCATGTAAAAGAGATTTATAAACTCAATGGATTTTGTTCCTGGTAAAATAAAGGTTTAAATAAAATTCACTGACAGCAGCTTCAACAATGCTTCTGATCTTGGTTCTTTTTACATTTAGTTTGTAGTTCATACATAAAAATACTGACATTTTGTCATCTTGTAAAAGTTCCATATTACTTTTGGGTTTAGCGAAATGAGATGATGTTCCTTGGAATTTTAAGCTGCAGCTGCATTAGGAACATTTTTAATTTCTGCAGAAATGACCGGTTATAACTCGGTTTGGGTGATGCTTGTCATTTACCTGGGAGACCGGGAACCCCTAGTTCTCCTTTGGGTCCCCTCACCGTAGGTCCTCTGTCCCCTCGGTCACCCTGATCACCTGCAGAAAGGAAGGTCAATAAGAAACATACCAGTAAATAAAACTGCTGCAAATTCTCTTCCATTTTCAACATAAAGCTACTTGATTCTTGAGGTAAAGAGAGTCCATAATCAAATTAAAAGATATTTAGATTTTCAGTTTCATTTCATTATTTTATTTTATTTTATTTTTTCCAAATCAGAATTGAAAACTGTCTCTTTTCTGCTCCTTTGAAGTTTTAAGCAGTATCTCATCTCTGGGAGCACCAATGAACAGCTAAGGGAGAAGATGCAAACATTTAAAGTCTCTTTTCATTTTTATATTTTGTGCTTTGGTTTCCTTCATCCTCCTGCCTGTTATCTGGAAATAAATATCAGTAAGACAAACTAAAGAACGTATCTGAAAAAGTTAAAGCTGGTCCTCTGGACATTCAAAAAGAAAAAAAAATTGTAGAAACGTTTCGTCTTTCATTCGAAAGACTTCCTCAGTCTGAGGTGCTGTATTCAGCTCAGCCTTATAAATAGCACCTTCTCATAGTGGATCAACCAGTTTGCTGCTGACAACAAAAACCAGCTGCTCACATGCTCAAGAAGGACCATCAGCCTAACAATGGATCAGGGGGACAGTTGAACCCAGAGGCCTCCACTCCTGTTTAATGATGGAAGGTTTCTTTTCACAAAGATGGCCTCTTCAAACCATCGTTCCTCTCTATCCAGGATGTGAACATCTTCATCCCTGAAAGAGTGACCGCTGGCCTGGAGATGAGTGTAGACCGCAGAGTCCTGGCCTGATGATGTTGATCTTCTGTTCTGGTCCATCCTTTTGGCCAGTGGCTGTTTAGTTTCCCCGATGTAAGACTGATCACCCTCCTGACACTGAACAGCATACACAATATTACTCTGTTTGTGCCGGGGGACTGGATCTTTGGGATGAACCAGTTTTTGTCGTAATGTATTTTGGGGATTAAAAGCCACTTGGACGTTATTTAGAAAAGAAACGTCTCAGTTTCTCTGATACTCCCGCAACACATGGAATGACCACTGGTCTGGGTCTGGGTTCCTCCTTTTCTCCTGATGGCTGACTGGAGTCCTGTTTGGGTTTCTTCTCTGCTTTCAGGAAGGCCCAGTTAGGATATCCACATTGCTCTAGAGCCTGTCTTGTGTGGGATTTCTCCTTCTGCCTGGCTCCTGAGCTAGTGGGGACGCTGTCTGCTCTGTGGTACAGAGTCCTGATGACTCCTAACTTGTGCTCCAAAGGGTGATGGGAGTCAAACTGCAAATACTGGTCTGTGTGGGTGGGTTTGCTGTACACCTCAGTTTGCAAATGTCCTCTATCAGAGACTGAGACCTCACAGTCCAAGAAAGCCAACCTGTCATTTTTTACATCTTCTCGTGTGAACTTGATGTATTTATCCACAGAGTTGATGTGGTCAGTAAAATGTTGGACTTCCTGAGATTTAATTTTAACCCAGGTGTCATCAACATACCTGAACCAATGACTTGGTGGTGTCCCTGAAAAGGACGTCAAGGCTCTCTTTTCTACCTCCTCCACGTACAGGTTGGCAACAATAGGAGAAACTGGAGACCCCATAGCACACCCATGTTTCTGCCTATAATATTGCTCCCCATATGTGAAGTAGGTTGACTGCAGGCACAGTTTCAAGAGTTGACACAGTTGTTCTGTGGAAAGCGTGGTCCTGCTGCTCAGAGTGGTGTCTGATTTTAATCTTAAACTGACCACCTTTACTGCATCATCAACAGGAATGCACGTAAAGAGTGATGTGACATCAAAAGAGACCATTGTTTCATCAGTCTCCATGATGACATCTCTCACCTTATCCACAAAGTCCATGGTGTTCTGTATGTGGTGTTCTGAGCTGCCAACTAAAGGGATGAGTACAGACGCCAGATATTTGGAAACATTGTAAGTGACAGAGTTAATCATGCTAACAATTGGTCTTAAAGGTACACCTTGTTTGTGGATTTTAGGTAAACCATACAGACTAGGTGTGGCCTCCCCTGGGTACAGTCTGTGGTACAGAAAACGATCAATAGCCTTGTCCTGCTCCAAAATTTTCAGGCAATCTATCAATTTCTTCTTGTAACCACCTCCTGGATCTCTTTTCAGAGGTTCATAAGTGTTTACGTCACTAAGGAGTGTCATAACTTTCTCATGATAGTCTTTCTGGTTCCAAATCACTGTGCACCTTCCTTTGTCTGCTGGGAGAATGATGATGTTTTTGTCCTTTGTAAGAGTGGTGAGTGCATCCCTCTCCTCTCTACTGATGTTGGAAGGTGGTGGTTTGGCTTTGCTGAGGCAGGATGAAACTTTGATTCTGAGCTGTTCTGCTTCACCCTCTTTAATTTTGTTGTTGCGGATGGCTGATTCTGTGGCTGTGATCATCTCCACCAGAGGAATTCTACTTGGTGCAACCGCAAAGTTCAGTCCCCTGGAAAGAATCTCTGTCTCCGGCTGGGTGAGCTGTCTGTCAGATAAATTCTTCACCCACTTTTCTGTCTCCCTGGCATGTAACTGTCTACCGGAGTCTTGTCCTACACTGAATGTGTTGTTATTGGAATTGTGATGGTGTTGATGAGCTATTAGTTAGTTAAACTTGTTTTGTTGTCAAGTCTTGGATTTGACATGCTGTGCTAAGCTAAAAGGATGGCCCAGCACAGAAGATCAACATCATCAGGCCAGGACTCTGCGGTCTACACTCATCTCCAGGCCAGCGGTCACTCTTTCAGGGATGACGATGTTCACATCCTGGACAGAGAGGAACGATGGTTTGAGAGAGGAGTAAAGGAGGCCATCTTTGTGAAAAGAAACCTTCCATCATTAAACAGGGGTGGAGGCCTCCGGGTTCAACTGCCCCCCTCTTACAATGCTGTGATTGCTAGTATCACTCAGCCCTCTGTGAATAGTAAACAGCCATCAGTGTGCTAATGACCCATTGTTATGCTGATGGTCCTTCTTGAGCATGTGATCAGCTGGTTTTGGTTGTCAGCAGCAAAACTGGTTGATCCACTGCGAGAAGGTGCTATTTAAGAGACTGAGCTGAAAACAGCACCTCAGACTGAGGAAGTCTCTCGGATGAGAGACGAAACGTTTCTACAATTTTTTTCTTTTTTTTTGAATGTCCAGAGGACCAGATTTAATTTTTTTTAGAATTTTCTACCTGGATTATTGAGCACGCATCAGGATAAAGAACATATCAATTCATAAAATGCATATGGAGGAGAAAGGACACAGGATATAACAAATAAATCTGTTCTAAACAATAAGTTTACGTGCTTGTACAGCCATACACACTTACTGTATGCATGATAAAACTTTATACAAAAAGCATATAATTCCTTCACGTGTTGTGGAGGGATTTTGACCCACTCTTCTTAACAATATTGTTTCAGTTGATTGAGACAGCTCTCCTAACCCTCCTGATGCACTTGGGTCAGAATGACCTACAAGGCTTCAGTTTTAGAAGTGAGGCTTTGTGAGTCATTTTGACCCCAGGGCAGCAGGAAGGTAAAGCTGACTGACTGGACTACTGCAACACGTTAATTATTTTATATTTAAGCTGTTCTGTTGTCGATTAGCTGCTGTGTTCAGGATGATTGTCCTGTTGCATCTTGACCCTGTTTGGTCCAAGCTTCAGCTGTCGGTCAGGCGGCCTCACATTTGACTCTAGAAACCCTTGGGTTGCAGAAAAGTTCACGGTTGACTCAAAGCATCACCCAGATACCACCATACCACCACTGTGCTGACAGCTGGTATGAAGTACTTGTGCTGATTTGATATGTTTCATTATTTACCAAACATGGCACAACAGTAATTGCTTCTTTAAGATTGGTCGTTAGTGCCCTGATGCTTCGTTTTTCTCCTTTTCTCCTGCTCCAAAGCAGGTTTTCACTCCTGATCACTTGATCAATGCATTTGATTAGCAGCACCTAGCTGCTTCTCACACTTGTGATTCTTAAGAAGGCAGTATGTTGGACTTAGTACGTGGTGTTGTTCGTGTCTCTGCAGTAAAAGTCTGCAGAGGTGTGCACTAACTCAGTAAAACGTTTGACTATTGTCAAAAATCTCACCTTTAGGTCCTTTACGACCAAGTAATCCAGGAGGACCCTTTAGTCCAGGAAGACCTCTTGAACCAGTGTGGCCAGGAAATCCATTTTCTCCAGTAGCACCTGGTGGTCCAGGTGGACCAGGAGGGCCGGGGAGCCCAGCAATGCCTGATTCAGGTCTGCTTAGGCTGGCCGCTAGCTGGGCCAGCTGCTCTGTGACATGGGAGGAAGGAGGTACACTCAGACCCAGGGTCATGTCGGAGCAGCCGCATTAGAATCAAACTCAGTTCTTAGCTCAGACAAATCGTTTCACGGCGAGGAAAGCGCTGAAAGATGAAGATGACAAACACTTACCTTGCATTACTCTCCTGCACACTTGTTTGATGTGTGAATCTGTGGGAGATTTCCCCTGCACAACAAGAGTGACTCGTTAACGCCATGGACACAAAACACAGATTAAAACCGCCTGGTCTGGATGCTCTGCAGAGTTTGACTCGTTTTACTCACGGATGGTCACTCTTTATTATTATTCATTATTGATACTTGAACAAAGTTGTTTCCATGTTGGGACGTCTGATCGAGCCCCCAAAGCCTAAATAATGCCCAAAATAACTTAAATGCAAATAAAATCAAAGATTCACAGGATGGATGATAAAAATAAGGCAGAGTACATCTTTTATTTCTTTTCTTTGTTATTAGAATAACTTGCTTTCATTAATACTTTATATTTTGATGCCGTAACATTTAGTAAGTTTCAATGGATGCACAAAACTATTTTTAGGATTTTACAATAATTTGCTATAATCTGATTAATTGTTCTTTTCCTAGTAGATTTAGAGAGCAACCATACCATGTCAGAAAGTTGCTTAAGCAAAGTAGAGTGGTAACAAACTGTTAGGTCAAAGATAAAACTGTTTTTAAACACGTTAAAATGAATTTTCGCTCCATATTTAGCTGATTCTGGTACAGATACAGTCAACATGAAGCTGTACACAAATCTTTTTTTAATATTCAATTCACACATTTCCAAAATTTGGATGGCTAAACTGTTACAGCTACCTTACAAAGTAAAGTCAGGTCCTCTGGACGGATTCTTCTTGTTGAAACGTTTTGTCTGTTATCCAAAAGACTTCTTCAGTCTGAGGAGCTGCAACAAACTCAATCTTATAAATATCACCTTCTAATAGTGAATCAACCAGTTTGTTGTTAGCATCCAGAACTAGTTGTTCACATGATAAAGAAGGACCATCAGCCTAATGACTGGTCGTTAGTGCCCGATGGCTGCTTGCACAGAGGGTTGAGTGAGCCAGAGGTCACTCTTTCAGGGATGAAGATGTTCACATTCGAAACGTTGGTTTGAGAGAGGAGTAAAGGAGGCCATCTTTGTGAAAAGAACCTGTCCATCATTAAACGGGGCAGAGCCTCCGTGTTCAACTGTCCCCCTCTTAACAATGCTGTTATTGCTAGGATCACTCAGACCTCTGTGAATAGAAAGCAGCCGTCAGGGCACTAACGATCATTAGGCTGATGGTCCTCCTTTATCATGTGAACATCTAGTTCTGGATGTTAACAACAAACTGGTTGATCAACTATGAGAAGGTGCTATTTATAAGACTGGGTTTGTTGCAGCTCCTCAGACTGAAGAAGTACTTTGGATTAAACATGAAACGTTTCAACAAGAAGAATCCATCCAGAGGACCTGACTTAACTTTGTGAGATTTTTCTGCCTGGATTGTTGAGCATACATCATGCTACAGCTAGCATGTCTTGTGGTCAATACAATCTAAAAATGGTTCAGGTTCAAGTCATGTTTATTCAAGGAGTCACTTCAGAGCAGCTAAAGAGCTAAATGTGGCTCTGGAGCCGCAGGCCGCAGACCCCTGTTCTAAAGATTTCAGACATCTAATCTTAGTTTGACTCAACATTTACTGAAGGAACATGAATTAACTAGGAGTTTAAAGTGTGACACAGTCCAGTCCCTCCTGTATAAGTCACACCCTTACATTGTCTACCAAAGCATCTCACCGGTGGTCCTTGTGATCCTGGCAGGCCTGGGACCCCCCTGTCTCCCTGCATGCCTCGGGGTCCTGGCTGTCCATGCTTGCCCTCTTTGCCTGGTTGTCCTCGGCCGCCTTCCGGTCCTTTGTTTCCCGTTTCTCCTGGTGGGCCTGACTGCAGTCAGTGTACAGGTAAAATATTAATTTTCCTCACACAGCTTCCCATCAAAACTAGAATGATGTCTAAAACTAATAACTTAAACTTAACTAAAGGTAAAAATAATCAACTTTAAAACCAGCATCGCTTTGACAGAAAATCTTCAGTGATCTTTTCAGTAAACTGCAGCTGGTCACTGTCTCTACAGAAGCTGCAGTTTAGGCATCAACGCACAAAACGTCACAACAAAATGGATGCAGGTAAATATACAAACAGCTCCACAGGTAGAGTGACACATACAGTTCCTTTCTCTCCTGGTTCTCCTTCGTCCCCCTAAAAAAGAAACACCTTTAATCATTGAATGTCTGCAGGGAGCTGTGTTCTTTTTATTAGTCTGTCAATGACTGCTGGATCTGTTTCTGTCTGAAGGCACCAGTTAGAAGCAGATGTTTCAGCTGGGTTTCACTCACTGTTTCTCCTTTATCTCCAGATAGTCCTTCAGCACCTGGAGGGCCCTAAAACAAAGTTTTTAAAATCAACACTTTACGATTTCTCTGATACATCTTGATAACAACTGCAATATGACAATCGGTTGTTAAAAATACCTGTTCTCCTTTTGGGCCACTGAAACCAACTACACCCTGGAAAAAAGGACAGTATTGTGGTTTAAATGTTCTGCTCACCAGAAAACGACAAGTGTTGTAGCACAAATACCTGAAAGGATATTTTAAAAGTTTTTTTTTTTTTAAGTTGTAATTATTTTTAGTATATTAACCCCCCAGATTTAGAGAAAAAAATATGTAAAAGTCAGATTTAACTTGTAAAGGTTACATTTAACATTTTTTTTTAATATCAATCACTCTTTTTTATTATTATTGACATTTATAAACATATTTAACATGCACATCCACTTCAGTCATTAGTGAAATATACATTTAAATGCACTTTATCTTTCACATGACAGAAAAAGGGAGCGCAACATAAACATTAACATAAAGGGAATGAAAAGTGTTTTTTGTGACAACAAGTTGCAAAATCTACATCTGATGTGTGATTTTATACAAACCATCCGTTTCTTCCAGCGTAACGTAAACCGGTCCTTCTCATCATTCACTTCTGCAGTTATTCTCTCCATCCTGTATTTGTCCGTTGTGATGTCGTCCACATTTTTAACGTTGGGCTCTCCAATTTGAGACAATTGTTTGTGAGGGCCTTTTTGCATGTCACTAACAAAATGCTGAACAGATATTTCTCTAACTGTGACCATCATCCAGGCATGAGTCCAAAACACAAAACTTAACTTTCTAGAGGCAGTTTGATAATATCTTTTATTGCCTTACGTATCTCCTTCCAATAAGTTTTAATTACTTGACAGTCCCAAAAAAGATGGTAACGATGTGCACTTTGATTTCCACAGCTTCTCCAGAGAGCTGGAGAGTTACCTTTAGAGTGTGATTTTTGGTAGGTTGTAATAAAGTATCTTATCAGACTTTCCCACCCAAACTCTCTCCATCTCAGTGAGCTGATGGTACTCCCAGATTGTTCCACTCTTCTTCTCTTACATCTACGTCTCCCTCCGTTTCCCACTTTGTTTCGATGTATATATTTGAATGTGTTTTCATGTTGACGGGTCCTTTATACAGACCTGAGATAATGTTTCTTTAAACTGATCCAACAGCTGTTTGATCGCTTCTGATATTTGTTTTATTTTATCACTGACAAAACATCTTAACTGTAGATAACAATAAAATCCTGTTTCAAAACTTTATAGTGTATTATCTTTCATCATCTTACACACAGCTGTTAATCCTTTGTGTCCATTCCTTGAATCTAATGTCCAATTTATTTGGAGCAAATTGTGTATCATGTGTACACCACTTTAAGATTACTATATTTCTTTCAAATTTATATGTTGTTATTACGGTTTTCCACATTTTAAGAGTCAATTTGATCCGTGGGTTATCTATATTATTTATAGCATTTTGCAGGTTGCTGTCTGCTAGGAGTGCTTGTGTGGGGGTCAGGGTAATAGGGATAAACCTGCCATTGGTTTTACGGTTATGATTGATTAGTTTGGTGTTCTGAACACTGATACTGTTGTTTAATTTGACTGTCTCTGTGTGTGTTTGGGTGGAGAAAGGTACCGTTGTGCCTGTATGACTCTTGATGGTGACATCAGTGAATCCCTGCCTTAGCCATGAAACATTAAGGACCTATTGTCATGGTCAGATGTTTAAATAGGGCAAGGGGGCATTTTGTGATTTGAACCGGCGTATACGTTGCCCTTGGGTGGTTGAATACTCGTGACTTCGCTTGAAAGGATCTTACCCTGTCTCCCTTCTGGCCTGTGTAACCAGCAGGGCCTGGAAGTCCTGGAAGGCCTGGACTCCCTTTGCCTCCCTGTTCAAACAGAAATATAAACCATTAGAGACAGAATGCACTTGGTTGTTCAGAACTCCTACACAGAACTCAGTGTGTGGAGCCTCAAAAAGCCAATTCCCCACCTTACACCAACCATATCTGCAGAAAAAAACTTCTTTTGAAATAACATTTCCATCTAAATGGTGAGGTTGGACCCAATCACCCGACCATCCTGCTTTACTCTGCTGTTAGGGAGCGTGAGAGCATTCCTGGGGAACAGAGATTTCTTTGAGGGGCTCTCAGCTTCTTTTCCAGTCCTGAATCCCACCCCCCAAATGCCCCCTGAGCTGCAGAAAAAACATGTAACAAGAGGCTATTCATGCCCACTCTGGTGGATTACAGATTTAACTGCAAGGACAGACGTTCATAAAGATCTGCAACACTTTAATGAAAACACAAAATACAACTCCACTTCCCGGCCGTGGATGTCTGAGCACGACACTGGGCTCACTGGGCTCACTGGGCTCAGTCGTTCTAGTGTTGAATAATATGCTGATGACAGAACAACTTATATGGAAACATCGATTCTGCTGGCAGATGAGGGCAGCACAGATAAGGACTGGACTCAGGAGAAAAGAAATGAAGTTTTCTCCCAAGTTGCAACATTCTGAACCTTTTCCAGCTCAGACAGCTTTCTTATTTTCTTCTGACTCATTGCTTTTTTCTTCAACAGTTTAATTTTTAATCCTGTTTTTCTCTCAAACTAAATTAGCTCTCCCATTAGGCCCTGCGGCCAACCTTGATGCCTGGTTGTCAGGATGCCAGCACGTTTCAGAGCCTTGCAATCCAAGCTTGAACTGAAGAATGCATGATTTTATGTGAATAATGATTTTGCTTTTTTCTACTTCATCTGTTTTGCTTTTTAATAACATCTTTTTTATTCCAGTACCATGATTCTTACACTGCTGTACATGTACTACTGGTGGTACTCAGAATCCCTTAGAAAAATATGAGTTTCACCATTAAAGTTAAATAACTAGCTAATTAGGTGTTATTGAACTGTGGTGTCAAAATAATAACAGACCTAGGTAGAAAGATTAGTTAAGAAAATTACAAGTTTTGCTCTAAATGGAAACTGCTCAAAACACAGTTACAGTGGGGAATATTGAAACTGTGGTGGTCAATGGGTAACACGTACTTAAGCCTAAAGCAGCTCCAGTGAAGTCTTAAACTGCATCCTTCATCTATGGTGAGGTGTGTTTTGTGTTCCTCTATTCCCAGTCCAAACTCCAAACCAGTTTGAAGTAGAGAGCCAACATCAAGGTGACGCATGTTAATCGGGAACCCATTCCCGTTGTTCATCCCAGGAGTTAAAACATGAAGACAGTCAAAATGATTGTGCTCATAGGTTTGTAGAAAGAATTCTGGGATGTATCCTCATGGTGGACCTTGGGTTCATTGGATGGTTTTGGCCACGACACCCTCACCCAAGGAAGGCCAAGTCTGTGATGTCCCTGAGCCAACTGGGTTTGTTGAAGGGTTTTGTCATTCAACCTTTATTTAGACAGGTAAATCCCATTGAGCCTCGGGGACTCATTTACAAGAGAGACCTGATTTTAACAAAGAATGATGACAATGGACAACAGCGACAACAATAGACAATGATAAAAAGGCATACAGATTATTATTATTTTTTTTACAAATAAGATGGCCCAAAAAAATAACAAAAACAGCTAGACTCTAAGGCGAATGTAGAAAACTAAAAACAGGAACATGTCTGCATTGGTCCCTGCCAGGAGTCCAACAGATTCTTAAAGCCACTTAGAGAGGTCAAGGTCGAGAGCTTCAGATCTTTTTGTAAGATATTCCAGGAAACAGGAGCGGAGTAGGACAAGGCCCTTTTTCCAAATTCAGTCTGCACTGAGGGGACACTGCAGGTAATAATGTCCTGAGAGCGCACGCTGTAGCTGCACTCATGCAGAGACATGTAGGAGGAGATGTATGAAGGCAGCAGACCAAGAAGTGTTCTATTTCATATAGGCTTCGCCCTTTAAGGCTGTCGCTGATGGGTTTATCCCGTTATGCAGAGCATAAGCACTGAAAAAATTAGTCCACGCCCACCTGCTGTGTGGGCCCCACCCGGTCCGTATAAATTACGTTAAGAGCGGGAAATCGGCTCCCATTTTTTCTTCAGCGAGCTAATATAGCACTGTCAGAAGAACAAAGAAGATAAATTGTGTATATGACCAACCTTTGTGAAGGATGCTTGGCCCGGCAGTCGACCTCCGGTCGTCCGGTGAGTTCTCCTCCCCGAGGAGAAGATGACAGCAGTCTTATTCCAAGGTAAACGTCGGGGAACATTTCCCAGTGACAGGTCACTACACGCTGGACAACGCCATCTTGTGTTTTTTCCTCTTATCGCCGACCCTCGGGGCGAACCGGATGGTTCCTCCGGGGCAAGGTGTGCTCAGCTGCAGCCCCCGCTGCTCATTCCCTCCTGGGGAGCGTAGTGTAGGTGGAGGGGGGCTGAGTGAATGCTCACCCCATCCCACCTCGTTTCGCATCGGCGATCACACCGCTCCCGGCCGACGGCGCCCTCAGGGATTGCCCGGCGGAACCCGGGAGGAGGCTGACATGAAGGGACCCCTTTTTTCTACGTCCCTCGCCTTTGCTCGCCAGTTCGGATGATCGGCGGAAAGGTTATTTTTCACCGACGTGTTTCCAGGCAGCCGCAGTTAGCAACAACGTGCGCTGCTAGCATATAGCATGTCCAAGGGACTGAAGGCCGCAGACCTGCCTTGGAGACAAAGAACTCCCTCTGTAAGGCAACTGACGCTATTCCTCGGTTCCCCCCCCTGGAGCCAAGCCTCGCGGAAGCTTCCGGAGCGAAGCTGCCCAGGTCGGAGCAGCGTCCCGTCCCTCCGGAGGAACCAGACGGCGACCAAGCTCTCCAATCGAGCCCACCGACGTGTTTTCAGGCAGCCGCAGTTAGCAACAACATGCGCTGCTAGCATTTAGCATGTCGAAAAGGCTGGAGGCCTCAGACCTGCCGGAGGAGACAAAGAGCTCCCTGTGTAATCGGCAGACGCCATCCTCAACATGTGCGCCGCTTCCACGGTTGGCCTGTCGAGGATTGCAGCGTGGATGACGGTAATCCAACGTTCCATCTGGCTCCGTCACTCTCCATTGCTGCCGGAAAAGCTGCACAAGACCTGATGGAGGGCCCCATCTCATCGGACGCGCTGTTCGGAAGCAGCTTGGCGACCATGCTGACGAATTCGAAGCAGTCGGAGGAGATGTCGGAAGCTGTACGCCATTTCATCAAGCCGCGCGGCTCATCCCGTCCCCCAGCCCGCTGGAGAGATCGTCGAGAGCAGAGGCAGAAACATCGACGCTCCACGGCAGCAGCAGCTTCGTCTCGCCCAGCTCCACCACCAGCCCCGCCCGCCAGAGACCACCCCTCCTCAGTCCGGCAGCCTGCACTTCAGCGTTTCCCCAGAGATCGCCTGCAGACGGCGCTCGGGGCCAACAAACCGCAGGGCTCACGGGGGAGAAGATTTAAGAAATGACGGTCTGCGGAGGATGTGTGTATAAATGACACAGGAATTGAAATAAATGATTTTTCAAGATCAAAATGCCTGTTTTTAGCCAGTCTGTAAGTTCGGATGAGCTCACAGCCGCTACACACACATCCTCCACACAGAGAGAGCCGGTGGCCTTAAATAAAGGTTTTTTAAACCCACCGCCGCTCCTTCACATGCCCAGACGCTCACGTGACACTACGGTAAGCGAAATAACTTGTTGTCAATCAGACCCGCACGATCACCACCCAAACGGTGTTAAACGCGCACCCGAGCGGGACAAGCAGCCTCCATCCAAACGGCACTGTGTCGATGATGCACGCACAGCTGCCCGGCGCTCACCGGCTCACATCGGGATAAATGTGGGACCGCAGGCCGGGTCCGGTGGAGGTCCCCGCTCTCAGCGAAAACAACACACGCCTCTCCTGAATGAACGCGAGCGGCCGTCATCCATCGCGTCTCAGCGATCGGCAGCTCACGGCGACATAAGCGTGAGACAGCTGAATGAATCCAATGATGGGCCCCGCCCTCAGCGAGAGCGGCGCGCGTCCCTCCAGAGGAAACGTGCGCTCCCGCGAGGCTCACAACCTTCACTTCGACAGCACGGCGTTGATGACGTCACGCCCTCCACCTCTCAACGTTCGCACAGCGACGTTAAACGTGCAGCCTCTCGACGTCATCAGCTGACACACGCCTCGCCTCAGCGCACACCGCCCCGCCCAGACATGAAGGTTGGTCTGCGATCCAGACACAACGCACGGGCGCGCGCAGAACAGCCCTTTCGAGGAAGCCTCGCCTTGGGTCACGCGGAAAACATTTCCGCGACACATGACGGCGGTCGAGGCGGAGGTTTGGATGACATCCGTTCAAAACACGGCACATCATTTAAACGCACGTCCACTCAACGAACGTCACGCAGAGTGGCTAAAAACATGCTCACCGGACAGATGGATGGACAGAGTGTTATGCAAGGGTTACACGCTGCAGTTTGCAACCCGACCCCCTCCGTTCGGAGGAGTTATAGAGACGGTCCTGTCATCACCAGACCAAGTCTCAGCCTTAAATGCAAAAGTCCAAGAGCTTCTGATAAAAGATGTAATCTCAAGAGTTCCCAACGAGGAGGAAAACACAGGGTTTTACTCACGCTACTTCCTGGTCCCCAAAAAGGACCGGAGGGATGAGACCGATTCTGGATCTGTCAGCTTTCAACAAAGCGATCATGAACAGACCTTTTCACATGTTGACGAACAGACAGCTGTTGGACAACATCCAGAAAAACGACTGGTTTGTCTCCATCGATTTAAAAGATGCTTATTTTCACATACCAATCATCCCAAAACACAGAAAATTTCTGCGTTTCGCCTTTCAAGGGATGAAGTACCAGTACAACAGGCTGCTTTTCGGGTACTCCCTCGCGCCTCGTACGTTCTCAAAGTGTGTGGAGACAGCCCTGCATCCGCTACACAGAGCAGGGATGAGAGTTTTGTTTTACCTGGACGACCTGCTGCTCCTGTCTCACTCCAGACAGGAAGCATTGATACAGGCTCAGGTGTTGGCATCACACCTGTTAAATCTGGGCTTCGCCATAAACTGGAAGAAAAGCTCGATTTTCCCGGCCCAGACAATTGTTTATCTGGGAGTGGAATTAAACTCAATTACCATGACGGCTCGCTTATCACAAACAAGAATCGACACTCTAAAAAACCAATTACGCCACGTAAGACCTGGCAAAGTGGTAACAGCTGTCTCCGTCATGAAGCTGTTGGGAATGATGTCATCAGCTCACACAGTGGTCCCGCTGGGTTTGTTACACATGAGACGCCTCCAGAGGTGGTTTACGCGTCTGTGTGTGGATCCAGTAAAACAAAAGAGACGGATGATCATTGTCCCTCCCTCCGTGAGAGCAGACCTCCGACACTGGGGAAACACCCTGGTTCTGTCAGAGGGAGTCCCCGTCAGCAGACCCTCATCACACGTGTCAGTCTTCACGGACGCGTCGCTGTCAGGCTGGGGGGGGACATGCTTATCTCAAGCAGTAGGGGCGCTGTGGCCCCACCACACATCAGCCCACATCAATTTTTTGGAGTGTCGCACAGTACTGAATGTGATTCAACACTTTGCTCCTGTGCTACAGAATCAACACGTGTTGATTCACACAGACAACATGATGACTGCCGCTTACATAACCGTCAAGGGTGTGCGTTCAGCCCAGATGTTACACATTGTGCGAAAGCTACTGTGTTGGGTTCATCAAAACTTGCTCTTTATTAGAGCGGTTTACATATCCGGTGTTCTGAACAGAGGGGCAGATGTGACGTCCAGGGGCGGCCCACGTCACGTGGACCGGACCCTCCATCCAGATCTGATGTTTTTCAGACGCAGCAGAAGTTGGCAAAGCAGTTGTGGACCTGTTTGCGACGCGGGAAGAACGCTCAGTGCCAACTATGGTTTTTTTCCTTGAGCCCGCGAGACGATCCATCGCTGGGGGGGAACGCAATTGCTCACAGCCGGTGGCCCAAAACGCTTTATACGCGTTTCTTTTCCCCCACCTCCTCTGTTTTTTACAGTTCCTGAACCGAGTTCAGGAGGAGGGATTGACAGCTCTCCTGGTGGCTCCCGGCGTGTGAACGCACCATGGTTCCCAGGCCTGCAACGTCTGTTGTCGGGTCGCCGTGGAACTGTCGTGGAGGGAGGATGCTCTCCTTCAGGCAGGAGGAGCGACCAAGAGTTACCCAGAAATAGGTCAACACCTGTGGGTCTGACCGCTGAGCGGTCCCACTTAGAGGATGGGTTTCCCTCAGGAGATGGTGTGCACAATTCATGATTCACGTGCTGCATCTACCACAGTTCTGTACACATCAAAGGGGACGGTTTTTCAGCGCTGGTGTACAGAGAAGGTTTAGAGGCCACCTCATGCCTTTTAGGCGGCGTGTTGTTTTTCTACAACAGCTGATGGATAGGGAGTTGGCATTCAGTACGCTTTAACGTACGTTGCAGTCATCTATTCCTGCCACGAAGGGTTTCGGAGACAGAACAGCTTTTAATCACCCGCTGATGAAGCGTTTTTCTAAAAGATGTTCAGAGACACAGGCCTGCTTCACGTCCACTTGTTCCACAGTGGGATTTAACGCTGGTCCTGCGAGCCATGATCAAAGCTCCAATTGAGCCTCTGGATCAGGTTTCATTTAAATTCTTGTCTCTTTAAACAGCCCTGCTGCTGGTTTTAACACCCGCTAAGAGGATAAGTAATTATCTGCCCTCTCTGTTGCTTCGTCATGCCTTAGAATTAGGCTGACGGGCAGCTCAGCTGTTTTTAAGACCAACCCAGCTTTTATGCCTAAAACATCACGAGCTCTTTTAAATCAAGAGTGATATCGTTGGAGGGGTTTCTCCCCCCCCCCCCACACAGATCAGAAGAGGAAGCATCTTTTCATCTTCTCTGCCCGGTGCGGGTGTTGGCGTGTTACATAACGCGCACAGCTGCAATGCGTTTTCAAACTCAACAATTGTTTGTGCATTATAGAGATGCTTCTGCAGATCACCGTTATCCACCCAGCGCTTGTCACTCTGGCTGTGTGAGGCCTTTTCTGAAGCCTACAGAGCATCAGATTTAGGGCCTCCTGTCAACCTCTAAGCACACTCGACCAAGGGTATCGCATCTTCGACTGCTCTGCATAATGGTATGTCAATGCAGGACATTTGCACTGCGGCTGCATGGTCAACACCCTGCTCATTTATTCGCTTTTACCTACGTGATGTAACGGCTAGTTCCATGACACATTCTGTCCTTAGTGCTCTAACAGAATGAATATTATTGTTCTCATGGAACTCTGCTTAAGCTCACTTCTGTCTGCATGCATTCAGTGTGAGATGTTGTTATCAGTCACAAGTCGTGTCTGTGATTTTGGTTCTATTGTCACTAATCAGTTCATGATTATTGTTACCAATCAATTCATGGACATTAATCTGTTATACTGTTCAGCCATGAACCAGTTGGTTCATGCCCCCCCCCCTCCCCCCCCCTCCTCTCTTTTCAACTTCTTCTTCCCGTTGAAAGTTTCCGGGAGCATTCATGCTTTGTCAGAACGCATAGTTACTCAACATGCGTCTGTGCATGTCACATAATTACGCGATGCGTAGTTATGCACACGGGGAGCTGAGTGACAAGACGTTTTTTGGGCAAGCTTCCGCTTCTTACTGTGTTCGAATGGACCCAGTGAGGCGAGGACCACATCCGCTTCGCCCTTAACCCATCAGCGACAGCCTTAAAGGGCGAAGCCTATATGAAATAGAACGTTGGTTACGTACTGTAACCCCAGATTCTATGAATATAGGCGTAGCCCTTTAAGCGTCGGGCCTCACTGGCTCCTAAATGGCTGAAGAAAAAGCTATTTTGGGAGCCGATTTCCCGCTCTTAACGTAATTTATACGGACCGGGTGGGGCCCACACAGCAGGTGGGCGTGGACTAATTTTTTCAGTGCTTATGCTCTGCATAACGGGATAAACCCATCAGCGACAGCCTTAAAGGGCTACGCCTATATTCATAGAATCTGGGGTTACAGTACGTAACCAACGATTTAAAGATGAAAATGTACCAGTGAAGTTAATGATGACCAGTTAACCAGTGAATACAGGGTGCAGTGATGGGTACAATAATCACAGCCAGTTATGAATCTTAGTGCACCATGATAGACAGCATCCAACATCTGCAGGGTTCTTGTAGGAGCGTTCATGTAAATAATGTCACCGTAATCAACGGAGGGAAGGAAAGTCACAGATACAAGGCGTTTTCTAGCATTCAGAGTTGGACAGGATCTGTTTCTGAAAAAGAAACCCAGTTTAACTTTCAGTTTCTTTACTAGGTTTTCCACGTGGAGCTTAAAAGAAAGATGTGAGTCGACCAAGACACCCAAATATTTATAGGAATCAGCAAACTCAATAAACAGGCTTGGTTTGTAAGTTATGATTAGACTTTAATGTAATTTGTTTGGTTTTGACAGTTACCTGATCTGTTTGAAACGTTTCAGTACAAGCCTGAAAGATTTAAATGTCTGTGGTAATGGCTGAACTGGTAGAGCTTAGTATTGTCCGATGGTACTCATTATGAAAAGTGTCAGAACCACTTTTCTAGTACATTTCAAAGAAAGAAAGAAAGATATCTGATATATATCCTTTGATGATATTTTAGATATTTTCTTCATCTCAGTGTCCCTCGGAGGGAATTGGTTTCTTTAAGAAAAACTTTGCACGAGGCTTACCCTGGCTCCTGATAATCCTGGAGGCCCGTCAGGCCCCTTCTCTCCACGTTCACCCTGAAACAGAAAAGAGCTAATGTCACCAGAAGTTTTTTGTGTTACATTATGAAAAAAGAGATAACGTTTCATCAGAATAATGCAATTCCCCTTAAAGGAGTTTTATCACTAAATACCTATGAGAAACTGGACCATTTATCAGCTTTACATCCTGCAGGTTTTATTTGAGATAGACGATTAGCACTGTTGCCTTGCAGTAAGAAGGTCCTGGGTTCGACTCCTGGCAAGGCTTTTTTTCGTGACGTTCACACGTTCTCTCTGTGCACATGTGTGTTTTCTACTGGCTCGTAGTTTCCTCCCACAAACCAGAAACACACTGGGGTAATTGCTAACTTTAAATTTGCCCCAGTCATCAGTACGTTAGTCTCTGTGTGGTTCTGTAATGGACTGGAAACTTGTCCGGGGTGTACCCTGCTGCTCACCCACTGAGCCGCTGAAGCTTTGATCCTGCAAGGTTCATGTGAAACTACGCCTGACCAGCCCGTGGTCCTACAGGAGGTTTCTTCCTGTTGAAAGAGTAACTCCTTTCCACTGTCACCAGTGTGTGACTCACAGTGGGGGAGAGCATAAACTGGAGTTTTTTAATGCAATCTACTGGTTTCTTAAAAAAAAATAAAAATACAATTTTTTTAAAAATTGGCATTTTGTAATTTTCAAACTTTATTTAGACAGGTAAATCCCATTGAGCCTCGAGGACTCATTTACAAGAGAGACCTGATTTCAACAAAGAAAGATGACAACGATGGACAACAGTGACAACAACAGACAGCCACAAAAAGGCATACAGATTTTTTTTTTTTACAAATACAATGACAAAAAAAGTAACAAAAAACAACTAGATTACAAGGCAAATGTAGAAAACTAAAAACAGGAACATGTCAGCATTGGTCCCTGCCAGGAGTCCAACAGATTCCTAAAGCCACTTAGAGAGGTCAAGGTCGAGAGCTTCAGATCTTTTTGCAAGATATTCCAGGAAACAGGAGCGGAGTAGGAGAAGGCCCTTTTGCCTAGTTCAGTCCTCACTGAGGGAACACTGCAGGTAATAATGTCCTGAGAGCGCACGCTGTAGCTGCACTCACGCAGAGACATGTAGGAGGAGATGTATGAAGGCAGCAGACCAAGAAGTGATTTAAAGATGAAAATGTACCAGTGAGAGAGTCTGTGTGAAGTTAATGGTGACCAGTTAACCAGTGAATACTGGGTGCAGTGGTGGGTACAATAATCACAGCCAGTTATGAATCTTAGTGCACCATGATAGACAGCATCCAACATCTGCAGGGTTCTTGTAGGAGCGTTCATGTAAATAATGTCACCATAATCAATTGAGGGAAGGAAAGTCACAGATACAAGGCGTTTTCTAGCATTCAGAGTTAGACAGGATTTGTTTCTGAAAAAGAAACCCAGTTTAGCTTTCAGTTACTTTACCAAGTTTTCCACATGGAGATTAAAAGAGAGATGTGAGTCGACCAAGATACCCAAATAACAAAGCCCATGCTCAATAATCTAGGTATACAATCCAACATTTTTCAGTCAGGTCATCTGGACAGTTTCTTTTTTTGTGCTGAAATGTTTCGCCTTCCATCCGGAGGGCTTCATCAGTCAAGGAAACACACAACACAAAACTGATTCTTCCCCCAACAGCTTACTCCAAAGTGGAACAAACAAGTTTCCCAAATATTAGACCTGTCCAAATATATACCCAAATATTTATAGGAATCAACAAACTCAATCGGGACATCATTTGAGGATAAAATCAGAGGAAGAACTGCTGGGACCGACTTCCTATTTGAAAAAAGCATCCCTTTGGTTTTGTCGGAATTTAGGACAAGTTTGAGGCGGAACAAATCAGACTGGATGATGTTGAATGCAGATTTCAAAAGCTGGAAAGCCTTAGCAACAGTTTTAGCTCGACAATAAACAACTGTGTCATCAGCATAGAAATGTATGGATGCATCAGGGATGTTTTGACCTACATTACCTATATAGATTGTAAAGAGGGTGGGTCCTAAGACTGAGCCTTGTGGTACACCATTGTTAACTGTTAAATACCTGGAGAAAGTACCATTATGTTGAACACATTGCCTCTGATCTGAGAGAAAGTTAGAGAACCAACCAATAGTGTGATATGAGAAACCGATTTTTGAGAGCTTATGATACAAGATGTTCTGATCCACAGTGTCAAAAGCTTTAGACAGGTCTAAGAAAAGTGCAGCACAATAATCCTTAGCACCCAGTGCTTCAACAGGAGGATTTTGTTAGTATAAATGAATCCACTCACTCCTGTTAATTATTTAAATTTTCATGTTCCTAGAACAACTGGCCGAGGTGGATGAGTAGCTTCTATTTTTCAGTCAGGATTATTGATTAATGCCAAACCAGTTATTAGTTATGATTCTTTTGAATCACTGTCCCTCAGTCTTTCTCATCCAAAATGGAAATCAGAAAAGCCACTTTTACTAGTTGTTATACATCATCCACCAGGCGCTTACTCTCAGTTTTTGTCTGAATTCTCAGAATTCTTAACTGACTTATTATTAAATACTGATAAAGTCATCATAATGGGTGATTTCAATATTCGTAGATGTTGAAAGTGATAGCTTAAGCATAGCCTTTAATAATTTAATAGACTCATTTGGTTTTACTCAAAAACGTCCGCACATCTACTCATTCTTATCATCACACTCTTGATTTAGTTCTGACCTATGGTGTAGAGATTAAGGACTTGGTAATAGTTCCTCAAAATCCTATTCTGTCCGACCATTTTTTAATAACCTTTGAGTTTACATTAAATGACTACACAGTCACTGAGAGTAAATTTCATCTCAGCAGGTGCTTATCAGAAAATGCTGTAACCAAATTTAAACAATCTCTTCCATCAATGTTTTCCTCTGTCTTGCAGAGTAATGCATCAGAGAACAGAGACTTAGATCATCTATTTGATCATCTTACAACTTCAATGCAAACTTCACTTGATAAAATTGCTCCAATGAAAAAGAAAGTAATCAATCAGAGGAAACTGGCTCCTTGGTTCAATTCTGAGTTACGTACTTTAAAGCAGGCATCTAGAAACCAGGAGAGAAAATGGCGCTCTACTAATGTTGAAGAATTTTATTTAACTTGGAAGGAAAGTCTGCTAACATATAAAAAAGCTCTCCGTAACGCTAGAACTTTATATTACTCATCTTTAATAGAGGAGAATAAAATTAACCCTAGGTTTCTGTTTAGTACTATTGCTAGACTAATTAAAAGTCCCATTTCTGTTGAACCATGTATCCCTACAACTATAAGTAGTGATGACTTCATGAGATTCTTTATAAATAAAATTATTTCAATTAGAGAGAAAATTCAAACCATCCTTCCTTCTACTATCTCTAGTCCCCTGTCAAGTGAGGCAACTTTAAAAATTTCACTAGAGCCTGATTTATGTTTGGACATTTTTTGTCCCGTTGAGCTCTGAATTGTCAAAAATAATAACCTCATCCAAACCATCCACATGTCTGCTAGATCCCATCCCAACCAGACTGTTTAAAGAGGTATTTCCCCTAATTAATGTCCACATTTAGGATCTACTTAATTTGTCTTTAATAGATGGTTATGTACCACAGAGCTTTAAGGTTGCTGTAATTAAACCTTTACTTAAGAAGTCTGATCTTGATTCAGAAATTCTGGCCAACTATAGACCTATATCTAATCTAACTTTCATCTACAAAATTCTAGAGAAAATAGTTACAGGTCAGTTGCGTGAACATCTACAAAGAAATAATCTGTTTGAAGAGTTTCAGTCAGGGTTTAGAGCTCATCATAGCACAGAAACAGCACTAGTAAAAGTAACTAATGATATTCTCATGGCCTCAAACAATGGACTCGTGTCTATACTGGTCCTGTTGGACCTCAGTGCTGCATTTGATACAGTTGATCACAATATTTTACTACAGAGGCTTGAATATGATATTGGAATTACAGGAACAGCTCTAAAATGGTTTAAATCATATCTATCTGATAGATTCCAGTTTGTAAATGTAAATAATAAATCTTCTTCATACACCAAAGTTAGTTAGTAGATGTTAAATCCATTGATTGCCAGGTCATTATTCATTACAGATTTGTTGAGCCAGGTTTCAGAGATGAAGATAACATCTGCCCCAGAAGAACGGACCAGAATTTTTAAGGCATCAAGTTTTCTCAGAAGGCTCCGAGCGTTTACATGCAGAAAATGAAGTCCTGACATGTTTTTAAAGTCATTTGGTGTCCTATAATTAGTGGGGGGTCCAGGGTTGGGCTGAATCCCTGACAGCAGTAACAACATTATTATCAGACATTTTCTTGAGTTTTTCGTGACTGATGTGTAATCACAGGAGTTAGTAGTGTGACACTTAGTCCCCATAATTGAACCATGAGAAACATCAATGAAGACACGATCATTCAGAACCCAAAAACAGTGAAAGTTGCAGTGATGGACAGATCCAGGTGTATTAACAAGATTCAGTGACTCCAGATAATCTGAGATCTGAAAATAATGACAATAAAATGAATGGTGCAGAAAAGTTTCAGACCATAAAGCGTCATGAATCAAATGGACAAACAAGTCCGACGAGCTGGCCCCACTAAAGTTTGAGTTGGTCTGAGGGGGGGCTCCAGCCCCCCTGCGAAGATGGATGGATTAGCTGCCAGTAAATCCTCCTGAAATGAAAGCCATGGTCCTAGCTCGTTTCAGGCCAACAGGGGACAACAGCGTGATCCGGAATAAAAATAATTATTATCCAGGTGAGTTTGGATGGAGGCCTGCAGCAACTCCGATGCAAACTCCGAACTTCTCTCGAGCATCACGCAGCGCTGCTCCTCCGCTTCTCTACACGTCACCTCCGCACCCGACAGCACGAGAGGCACCCCCGGTGAAAAACAATAAGACTAACCGGAGAGGCTGAGGCTGACGTCATCACTGGTCCAGTCCGGTTTTGCTCCAGTCCGGCTTCGGCGCTCCACAGCCCGAGAGGCGAAGAGGTTGAAGTGGCTGAAGTCGTCACTGGTCCGGTTCTGCTCCAGTCTGGCTCCGGCGCTCCACAGCTCGAGAGACGAAGAGGCTGAAGTTGTCCCTGGCCCGGTTCTGCTCTGGTCCGGTTCTGGCGGCGCTTCAAAGCATCAGAGCATCTCCTCCAGGCAAACACAGCGATTCCACGGAGGTGGACAGCCCTTTGTTAAAAGGTAACAGGCTGCTAAATGAAGCTGAGACCGGATCTGTTGAAGACGAAGTTCCCCACAGCCAACTCAGTTCGGTTCTGGTCCAGTTCGGGGGACACAGGTACACTTCCCCCACACCAATGAAGACACCATGAGGGTCAGTCCAACAGAAAACCAGCAAAAAAGCCAGCAAAATACCACCCAGCGATTCTTGTCGGAACCAGGTAGAACCACAAAGGTCCAGGTGAGAAGTTCGTTGAGGTCCGGAGAGAGAGAGAAAAAAAACACTGGACCTTCGAGCAACGACTCCTCAGCTCGAGGGGTCACCAGGCCGGCAGGGTGCGCTCAGAGTGACCGGTGGGGTGGGAGCGGCCGGTCCTAGACCGAAATAATTTTTTGGGACTGTCCTGTCCAGCTCTCTGAGTCACTGAACACCGAATTTGGTTGGAAGGGGGACCAACTTTAGTCCGGTTTGAAAAACGGGTCAGTTTGATGATAAAAGACTGCAGAGAAGCCGGGGGGAGCTGCCATCCATGAGCTTGCCAGAACCGGAAGTGAATATACTGGGTGGGGTTTTATCGTATTATAACTGATTTGAATCAACTGTAATTGGATTTGAATCCATTTTGAATTCATGATTTGGACTTGTTTTTTCTTGTAGTATACTATTTAATTTAAATTTATTTGTTATGCTTTTTGCTGCTCTCTTCTCCAGGGGTCGCCACAGAGAATAACTCACACAAAGACTTGGTGATTGTTTTTACGATGGATGTCCTTCCTGACACAACCACAGACCACCGCGCTACCACAGCCCTCTGTGTGGAGCAGAAAGCTGCTATCTAGGGCGCCCGAGGGAGCAGATGGTGGGGGTTGGGGGCTGTGCTCAAGGGCCCAGAGTGGGGTAAATGAGGTTGGAGACAGGTGTGGGTGTTTCACCTTTCCCACCCACATTTTGATGTTGTCGCTCCAGGGAGTCCAACTGGCGACATTCCGATCACAGACTCGTCTTCTCTAACCTCTGTGCCACCACTCCCCCCACTTGTAGCTATATAATAAACTGAATTAAATTGAATTGGAAAAAAGTGTGATTAAAATAAAGGAGAAAAGCAGCAACAATGATTAGGGACTCACAGGTCCTCCTCTGGGTCCAACAGGTCCCACCACTCCCTGCTCGCCACGCTCGCCCTGGAAGCAAAATAAGACTTCAGATCAGACGGTTGTCAGAGCTCCGGCTGACATTTACAATTATTTTGAATAAGGCTGGTGTTTACACATGTTCTTTCAGAAGATGAAGTGAAATGTAACGTGTTTAACTTTGTTCTAAACGTACTTGTTTCCCTGGAGACCCCATTAGTCCCACAACTCCTGGGTCTCCTGTGTTACCCTGGGAGAAAAACACGATAACACTGGTTTAATTTGAACATTTCTCTCAGCACATGGAAATACTCCTATTTTCATGGCGCATCAGCTCTGGTCATACCTTTGTGCCACCATGCCCCTTTGGTCCGTATGCTCCTGGCAAACCCTGCATGAGCAAAATTACAGCAAACATCAAAGAATAAAACAAGAAAGGTATATGATAAAACTAAAAATTGTAAATAATAATCAGGTGAGGTAAGAAGTCACTCACAGGAAGTCCCTGTGGGCCAGCATCACCTGGAGCCCCACTTTTCCCTGGAAGACCCTGAAAATAATCAAAGTATGGGGTACCATTTGTAAAGCTACATAGTCAAAAGTTAACAGCAATATTTTGGTTTATTTTGCCTTTCGTAAAAAAAAATTTTTTTTTTCAGTCATATTTTCATCACATCATTCATACATTTATAAAGGTCATAGTTCACTAAATAATTATTTAATTTGCAAGTTAAATATTTAGTTTACAAACTAAAACCTTAACTTGCAAGTTAAATATTTAGTTAGCAAGCTAAATATTTAGCTCCACACTAAATATTACAAACTAAATGTTTATGTCCAAGATATATGTTTAATTTACAAACTAAATATTTAACTTGCAAGTTAAATATGTATTTAGTGCAGTAAATATTCAGGTGTAAATTAAATATTTAATTTCCAAGCTAAATATTTATTTTCAAAACTAAACATTTAATTTCCAAACTAAATATTTATTGTCCAAGCTAAATATTTAATGTCCAAACTAAGCATCTAAAGTAATTTCTAAGCTGAACATTTAATTTTTAAACTAAATATTTTGTTTGCTAACTAAATATGTAGCATGGACCTAAATATTTAAATTGCTAGCTAAATATTTAGTTTGTAAATTAAACATTTAGCTTGGACATAAGCATTTAGTTTGTAAACTAAATATTTAGTGTAGAGCTAAATATTTATCTTGCTAAATAAATATTTAACTTGCAAGTTAAGTATTTAGTTTGTAAATAAAACATTTAGCTTTGACATAAACATTAAGTTTGTAAACTAAATATTTAGTGTGTGCAAGTTAAGTATTGAGTTTGTAGACTCAATATTTAACTTGTAGATCAAATATATAGTTTGGAACTATGACATTTATAAATGTATGAATAACATGGTGCAAATATAACTTTGAAAAATAGACTATTTGTTTTCTTATGAAAGGCTAAATAAACCGAAATATTGTTGTAACTTTTGACCGTGTAACTTTACAAACGGCACCTCATATCACAATAGATAAACTGACTGGACCAAACCGTCTCCATAAATCATGGAGAAACATGTCAAAGTTGGCATCATGCTGAAAACTAGAACTCAAACATTTACACTTCCTCTTATAGACGTGTTTTTGGGCTAGTCTTTGGTATTTATGATCATGATCTCAAACTCGACTGCTTGAAGGACTGTGTGACAGAGAAAAAAGAGGATTTGTGCTTCAATTTTTAAAAATTATTTTCCTTTTGTCAGACGTTTGTCTACAACAACTTCGAGGACAAAGAGCGACAAACATTTAGACTAAAAGCGCTTCGTGTCAGCAACACTATAAATGACTACCTTTGACCCAGGCAGCCCAGGAATTCCCTCACGTCCATCTGGACCAGGAAGTCCCTGTTGACGATAAGAGGAAGTGATTATTTCATTAAAGAGTTTATTCTAAACATTTTTATACAACTGGTCATGCTGCTCTAGTAAATGATACAGAGGAAAGCTGGGAAGAGAAACATCATTATAGGAATTGTTGACAAAGTATTTTTTGGCCTTCACAGTGGGGGCCACATGGTAAAACTGGTGACTAATCTAGTATCTATTACTTATTAAAATACTGGCTGTAGTCATGTGACTCTGCTCTACCAACCAGCTTCTCTTAGACTTTCTAAGTTGAAAACTGAAATAAAGAAGCACTCAAGCTTTTGCAGTTGCTCCAAAACTGTGGAATAGTTTAGCAGATCATTTAAAGACGGCTCAGACCGTTGAATCTTTGCTAAAAACCATTGGTGTAGTTTACATTTTTGTAGTGGGTATACTGTGCTTAGAAACCATAGTACTCTGGTTAGTACAATATAATCTTCAATTTATTTGGATTTTTAAGTATATTGAACATTTCCAAATTTCTCTGAGGCTTATATTTGAATAAATATACAACAAACTTTGTAAAACGGTTGGCTTTGTATTTAAAACATGTTATAGGATTTATAAAACAGTGTTAAAGCAAAACATGTTCAAGTATTACGTAGTAAGTACAGAAATATACAATACTTTGCTGGATAAGTGAATGTAATAAACAAGCGCTGCATACAAATAGATTGTTACGGAAGTGTTTAACTGTTGTTTAACGTATCAACGACACATGTCTAATGACATGGCATGAATCAATGGGCACTTTTCAATGGGTATACTGAAATTCTTATTATTTTCTAGTGGGTGTACTCCTTACACCTGCGTATCGCATACACCACTCTAAAATCCCATCTCGTTTCCCTGGCGTTTGGTTCAGACGGTTTGGGAAACAACTAGAACCAAAGGTTTTTGTCATTTTTTCTGTATTTTATTTTAATTTTACTTGTGTTTTCTTAACAACTTCTGTTTCCTTGTTTTTATTGCTGTTTTGCTTTTTGACTCGACTGTAATGTTACGCATTTTGGCCAACCTTTGTTGTTTTTATGTGCTATGTGAATTTTCATTCATTCAACCTTTATTTATACAGGTTAATCCCACTGAGCCTCAGGGACTTATTTACAAGAGATAAATAAAAAAGGAATGAACTGACATTGACGATGGCTGAGCCGCAGATGTAAAGGAATAAAAATGGACAACCTAGAAAAAGACTATCCAGGTGAAGGAACGTAGTGATGACATTTCAATAATAGGAGTGAATAGATTGTAGCAAACTAAAAATAAGTAAAAATTACATTTTCCTTGAAAATGCTATGCGACTGCTGAGTTCTGAATAACTTTGCTGAAAGAAGAAGAAGCTGAAACAGATCTGTAAGCTAAATGCAGTAAAAGTAGCAAAATGCTAACTTAAACCTAAAAGTAGTAAAAATCTAGCCAAGAGCCGAAAAGTAATAAAAGTCTCACTAAAAGTTAAAAGTGTCAATAGGCTAGTTAAAAACAGACTAGCTAAATGTAGCAGAACGTTTGCTTTTAATAAATTAGCATCATAGTAGTACTATTAACAGAAGTATGCTGAAGTAAGAAAACACAGTTCTTAAAGGATTTAAAGAGATAAAGGTTGCCAGATAAGAAATGATGAAATATCATACTGTCACTTTAAACCTATTGTATGTTGTATAAAACCATCCTGCGTACAGAGTGGGGGTGCTCTTATCTGAGGCAGTGGAGGCAGAGGGTGTGCACTTTCCCAGGGTGGGGCTGTCGGCAAACGTGCAGTCAGAGGTGGAGGGGGTTGCATGCGAACTTTCTGATGGTTTGTAGGTGTTTGTGCAAGTAATTTTTTTTTTGTGCATTTATTTACCAAAACTGTTGTATATTTATGCTTTTTCAAAACTATTTATAGTATATGACACCTGGAAGATATCTTATTGTATTTTATTTGAGATTTTTTTTTTGTAAATAAAGTTAAACGTTTTGAAAAGTATATAAGTTACAAAAATCAAAAGTCATAGCACCCATCTTCTGAACAAGCTGTTTTAATGAGGAATAGATAAAAAAACAAAAACAAAGTATGCAGAAGTAGATGCCAAAACTTTCAGGAAAATAATCAGGAAACAACAGTGTGAAGGCAACATTCACATAATCGTTGTTTAATTGATGAATAATCTTAACGAGATTAAGTAGAACTCACAGGTCCTCCCTTTGGTCCTGGTACTCCTCTGATTCCAGGTGGTCCTCGTTCCCCCTACGATAGAACAGTTTAAAAAGAAATATACAGCAATTACAAGATACAGGGGTACAGTTATTTTAAAAACAGTTTTAAATTTCATATATTTAATTTAATTTAGGGAAAGTAAATAACGAAGTAATAATGATAAAAGTATTTAAATTTTCCACACGCGTTTTAAATCACAAAGCGATATACACCAACTGTTGAACAGGACCGAGCTGGTCGAGAAAATGAATGGATGGACAAGAGCTGTGCGTATTTCAGTGGAAACAGGAGGTGAAGAGTTTAAAAAGCCACTAAGATACAAAAGTACACTTCCCATCCAGACAGCCAGATATCAGAGCTCTCACCTGCACTCCTGTTGGTCCAGTCTCACCTACAGCTCCTCTTTGACCTGGATCACCCTGAAACATGTCGGTATTCATCAGTTGCTTTATGTTTTATTTTGTCTAAATAACCAAGTAGCCAATGTAATAATTCAGATTATTCACTCACTGGGGCTCCCACAATTCCTCGAGGACCTACATCCCCAGGCTTTCCACGAGGTCCCTGTTTGAGAAAATATCAAGGTTAATTGAAGCAAATAATAAAAAAATAACACAAAAAACATGAAAATGAACTCAGTTTGGTGCATAGAGGCTCCTGATGTCCTTTTATATATATATTTTTAATTTCAGACAACACTTAAGGTTAAAAAAAACTTGAATTGTCTTTTAACAGAGATCATTTCAAGGGTTAAAACTGATGACATTATTAAATATGATTTACAGTTGTGCACAGGTCAGTCAGAATCAACAGCTGACCTGTTCATCCTCACTGAGCTCCTCTGATTTCACACTCCTCCGCTAACATAACCGCGGCCACCAGAGGGTGCTGTTGTGCAGAGGGTGCTGTTGTGCAGAGGGTGCTGTTGTGCAGAGGGTGCTGTTGTGCAGAGGGTGCTGTTGTGAAGCACAAACGTACTCTTAAGCAGAGCTATTCAACTAAACTGACCAGGGGCACAGTTACTGAAAGCCATGAGCTCAGGGACCGGACATCCAGCAGTTATTGTCATGAAGCAAGTTTGTTTTATGGTTTAAAATTTAGTTTTATTTCAAATAAAGCCATTGGTGGGCCCAATTGAGTTCATCCATGGAACTGATTTGGCCCCCGGGCCGGCTGTTTTAAAACTTTTTACAGGATTTGATGAAATACGTGCTGGAGTCAACTATTAAGACCCACTTTTACATTGGATGATGACTCCACGGATACGTTCAGTTGGTCCCAGGTCATGGAGGATTGTGAGCATGCTCAGAACCACCAAAGCAAGGTTGTACTGGTTTATCAGCGTGACAAGTTTACTGTGGTCCTGGGTGAAGCAAGCGGGAGCGTAGAGGCACGTATCCATGATGTGGGGCCCACATGCACCCATGTGCCTTGATCGCTGACAACTTGAAGCAGGACTAGTCACACTGGCCTCATGCCTATGTAAGTGTTGCATTGTGCTGGTGTGGTGCATGTAGCTGCACCCCGGCAGTCTGAGAGAGCCGAATGAAGGCAGGGTCTGTGGCGTGGAGAGCTTGTGGCCATTCATAGGAAATGGTAAATGGACTGTACTATAGCATCTTTCTGTCTGGTCAAGATACTGGAAACACTACAAGCTGTGCCCTCATTTACCCATTCTGGAAACATGGTGAGGGCGCAGGAGGGCTTCTCAGGGATGTGTAAAACAGCAGACAAAACATTTGTGAGCACTGAGAGGATAGCAGCGTCACGGCTGTCTGATCCAGACTCTTCTTCCGGGTGGTGTACGTCATGGAGACCATAGTGAGGCCTTCATCCAGCGTGGACGGGGCCCACCCAAAATATTACAAGCTGACACAATCCATGTCTCGTTTTTTCTTCCTTTTGTTTCCCACGTGAATTAAAAAAACCTTTTCATGTTGTTTTATACATTTACTGTAAGAAACCATCTTACCCTGTCACCTTTGGACCCCACTATTCCAGGATAGCCTCTTGGTCCACCTGGGCCCTAAAATTACTCAGCAAATAGAGAGGAGTGAATATGTTTGTCCAGAGACATTTCGCAGAGGATGATGCGCTTCATTTGAACAGAAACAAGGATGAAATATTTTACTGGTAGTCCTTGAGCTCCAACGTCACCAGGTGGTCCTTGCTCACCCTCTTCTCCCTGTTGGACATCGTAGTCCAGTTATGTCAGAACGTGCTTTGCATTTTGCTGTCTGGTTTTTTTTTCCATCATTGTTAAGCATGAGGTTACCTTGTGGCCTTGTCTTCCTGGCTCACCTGATTCACCTTTAACACCTTTGTGGCCCTGTACAGGTAAAAAAATACAAATTAAAAACCAGTCGTCGCTGACAAACAATAAAAGAAGTACAATAAAACTTACTTTCATGCCAGGAAGACCAGAATGTCCAGTCAGACCTGAGGGGCAGGCAGTGGGACACTGAAAAACACAATATTTTAGGTCATAATAAAGTCCAAGACCAGGGGCCTGCGCTGAGAAATAAATCCATCTGCGTCCACTGCAGTGAAAAATGTACAACTAACTCTACTTCAGGTTCCCTTCATAGTTTCTGAACTACTTTGTGCAGCAAAGAGTCTGTAGACTCATGCTAACCTTGCTTTTGGCATTAAAGGAATATTATAATAATTTTGAAGTGAGCTAATGTGAACAGGTTATGAACAATTAAAATCTTCTGTAGATAGCGGCCTCAGTTTGGAGACAGTTCAAGTCCAGTAGGACTGACAAGCTCACGGCTAGTCCGAATGTAGCCATGACCAAAGAACGCTGCCGTCTTCAAGCAACTCCTGAGGTTTATACAAACTCTGTTTTGTACACGCTTACTCCAACGACAGTTTGGCATCATGAGGTTATTTACAATAAATTCTGTATTAGTGCAAAGAGCAGCAGCAGCTAGCTTTAGCATAGGCTGGTGCAGCCTCATGGCCTTTCTGACAAGTTTCAGATTTCTGCTGAAATAAAAGTAAACTGCAAAACTGTCAATGATGTTTCTCTGACACAGTTTAATGTAAGAACCATCAACAAGCCAGCAGGTCCCAGGGGACACACGCCCAAGTCCTGCTCACCAGAACCTTTGGATTTAAAGTCCATTTCACCAAACTGATGTCATTTAAAGAGCCATCTGTGAAGGTCTGAGATCATTTATTCATAACATTTGATTTATTTATTTATTTACTAAACATCACCTCTGTATTAACAGTTTACCATATTTGGTGGTGGTTAGAGGCCATGAACAACACCTGTCAGGCAAAAATTATTTAAAAATAAAAAGTCCTAAAATTATCTAACAAGCAGCAGATATATATTCTATAAAAACTGATATTCATTATTCTCTGATGTCGAAGCAACAAATAACAAACATGCTTTAAAAAGATGATCACCTAATATATATATATATATATGTATATATATATGTACATAAATATATATGTATGTATATTTATGTACATATATATATATATATATATGTGT